AACTAAATCCCCCTTCTGAATTACAGCCAAGTTCTGCACAAATGATGCTTCCACTGCCTTCAAGGGGATTAATGTGCCCCCCCGAAATGCAAGTTCCCCATGAAACAACCCAAGGAAACAATACACAGATCCCATTAGCCCCAACACTGTACCACGTACTTGAGCATCATCTTCTCTATCCTTTTGCTTTCAGAAAGAAGGAACATTTTCTAACACAAGTTCAAAAATGAATATACTCACAAGCCCGTTCATTTTCCTCCAGATAAGACCAAGAGGCTGCAGAAAGGAAGAATGCAGGAAAAGCCCAGAGTCCTTCAACTTTTATATCTTGCTGGAGGTGTGGGAAACACTTGACAGGAGTTTTCTTGACTAAGTCCATATCTACACGCCAAACTATGGCAAAGCTCATATCTGAATTTTGGGCTGGCACAGATAACCTGACCCCGATATGATAAAAGCACTCAGGAAGTCAGCTTTTGTGAAATCAATCACTCTGCCAATGGTCATTATTCAGTGGTTTAAACTTCAGAGGAGTTCCCACTCTTGGTGGGTGCATTGTTTTAAATATTTAACAGGATATCGCCTAGAATGAAATGGCATCGGGAATAACTCTGCTATTCATTCCTACCAACTGCATTTTGTCTTCTGGAATATAAAACCCCTAAGAGTCTGCTGGCAAATCCTGGAATGAAATACTTACACCATGGTGGCCTGCTCATGAACAGAGTAATTCGTCAGTCCCTTCTTCCGTCCAATATACCCATGAGCTCTTGACAGGGAGTGCTGCTTGGGTTTGATCGGTTACCATGATGGATATAACACATGCATCAAAATCAGTGATGGAATCAGGAATAACAACTGTCCTGCACAAGACACTGCAGGTAACTTCCAGCCTCCTCAGCATACATGGACCTTCAGAGGATGTGCAGTTCACACAGGTCATAAAGCCAAAGGAGCAGGATGGGGATTCCTCCTTTAAAGATACCTCTGTTCTCTGTATTTAATCCAAGTGCCAATGACTGCATGGTATTCATCAGGGACTGTAGGGATAGGACAAGGGGTGATGGGTTCAGACTGAAACAGGGGAAGTTCAGGTTGGAGATAAGGCAGAAGCTCTTCCCTGTGAAGGTGATGGGACACGGGGATGGATTGAACAGAGAAGCTGTGGCTGCCCCATCGCTGGCAGTGTTCAAGGCCAGGTTGAACACAGGGGCTTGGAGCAAGCTGCTCCAGTGGAAGGGGTCCCAGCCCATGCTGGAACCTTGACAAATCACACTCTGCTTTCTATTAGCATCTCATAAGTGAGGCCTATTCCCTTCTAAGAAAACAAGAGCTCAGCCTAAGAGCCAACATAGCTCTGTAATCTCAGCCACTAGAAGAAAAGGTGAGAGAGATTGCGTGGAATCTCTCTCAGCAAACAGGCCTCAATAAAAACAAAGGAAATTGCACACATTTGCTTTATTGCACACAAAAAAAATGGTACCTCAAGTGTAACAAAGCTGTGCTGATAAGCAGCGTATCAGAATGCACATAAACAGATATAAACTGAGAAGCACTGCTAGGCTGATTAGATTAGGCTGAAACTGAAAGCTGGCTCTGCCCCTCCTGCTCAACAGATTCTTTGTTCCTGACATTACAGATATGTCAGAAACACTCAGATTTCAGCAGCCAAAGGAGCCTTTCAGAGCAGGGATCTAAGAGGGTTTGGGTGCCACAAGTGAAACCAAAAAGGTTGAGTAAGTTAAAGTAAAGCTTAAATAACTTCACGTACTCTTTTATTCTGAAAAACACCCAAGAATGAGCATCTGCATTGTAGGCACAGGTAAGAGCAAGGCAACTTGTGAAACCCTCAGCTGTTTCAGGAAGGAGAATTACAGCAGCCACCATCTCCTGATTTCCACCTCCCTCTGGACTGACTGGATTGTGCTGCTCTGATCAGACAAGGCCAACAAGGAAAGATTAATTTCTTAATTAACATTATTGCAAGAGAGAACCACTGCCAGATGCTACAGGCAAAGCCTGCATACACTGCCAATAGGAAAGCCTTGCTTTTTGGAGTCTTCTCCCTTCTGTCCCCTATCTCCCAATAATGCACCTGAAATCAGTGCGCAGGCACTCAGGGGCAACGTTATCCATGACAATGCCGGAGTCATGGAATCATGGACTCAGCCAGGTTGGAAAAGACCTTTAAGCTCATCAAATCCAACCGGTCCCCACCACTGCCAATCCATCACTAACCCATGGCACTGAGGGTGTGTGAACACTTGCAGGGACAGTGCCTGCAGCCCTGCCCTGGGCAGCCTGTTCCAATGCCTGAGCACCCTCTGGGGCAGGAATTGTTCCTCAGCTCCATCTAAACCTGCCCTGATGCTGCTTGAGGCCGGTTCCTCTTGTCCTATGGCTTGTTCGGAGAAGAGACTGACCCCACATTACTACAACCTCCTGTCAAGGAGTAGTGTAGAGTGATAAGGTTGCCCCTAAGCCTTCTCTTCTCCCTCAGATGTTCCTCATAAGATTCATTCTCCAGACTCTTCACCAGCTCCATTTCCCTTCTCTGGAGTGATAGGACAAGGGGTGATGGGTTCAGACTGAAACAGGGGGAGTTCAGGTTGGAGATAAGGAAGAAGCTCTTCCCTGTGAGGGTGCTGAGGCACTGGCACAGGGTGCCCAGGGAAGTGGTAAATGCCCCATCCCTGGCAGTGTTCAAGGCCAGGTTGGATGAGGCCTTAAGTGACGTGGTTTGGTGTGTGGTGTCCCTGCCCCTGATAGGGGGGTTGGAACTGGATGAGCTTTAAGGTCCCTTCCAACCCAAACCATTCCATGATTCTATGATTCCATGAAATGGAAAGGATAATGTCCAACTGCACTTCAAGCCTGATTGCCAAACAGCAATTCCAAGGTAGATGGATTCAATCATCACCAACTCTCCTGGTGCCTTTTTTTTCCCAGCTCCTTTTGGTAAATATGTACTTTATCAGGGAGGGAGCAGGTAGTGGGAGGAAGGGGAAGAACGAAGCAACACCTCAAAAAATCAACACCATTCTCCCTGCTTCCATTAGCAGAATGCCACGAGATAAAGATGGGGTGACACAGCCTAGAGAAAAACTGGGTGGCACGAGGACAGGTCAAGCAGAATGAAGTTAGAAACTAATTCAAGCTTGAAGGCTGAATGCAGGAATGATTCCAGCTGTTGTGCCCGTGTTAGACAGCAACATGTAGAAAACCAGGTAGAAATGTGTGTGCACGGAAGGGAACAGGAGCTGGAGAAGAGGTTTAAAACCAGAGCAGCTCTTCACCTTAGGAGTTTGCTGCACGGTGGTGCAAGAGGTTTGTACAGAAACAGAATGTCTTGAGCAGAGCTTTAAAACTGGGAGAGACAAACTTGTACTGGAACAAGAACAGGGTCTTATACAGTAAAAGCAGCCCTCCCTGCCCTGTTTCCTGGCTTCTACTGCTGCCATTAGTTTCGTAAGCTATTCCTAACGTCAAATGTGTGTGTTTGCCATACAAACCACTCAGAAGTTGATGGAAGGATTGGAGGTGCAGGCTTCCAAGTATGACACATCGCTGTGATGGCCAAATTGGCTGCGGTTGTTGGAAGAAATGGGCAGAACTGCTTTCCAACTGATTGCTAACGACACCACAGGGATTAGCATTCCACAGTTTGGTCTCAAAATGCCTTTCTTGAGAACTAGGCCATTAATCAAATATCCAGAGTCTATGAGAGGGTTTCGTGACATACAACATAGGGCTTCTCTTTGTATTTCGGGTCTTGGAAGCTAAGGATGTACCTGTCTCCATTTGGCATCTCCCTATCAGTCCGATGCGAAGACCCATAAATCTTTTCCCTTGGGAATTCATTACTTCCATTCACCACATTTTAGTTGCACAGTGGGTGCAAAGTAGATGGAAAGCAGAGCTCTCTGCTCACAGTGCTGGCAGAGCACAATACCTCCACTGCACTCATGTAGCCTGAGCAAGGCACCAGCCAGCAGCAGAATGACAGAGCATGGCCCTGACTGGTGTAAATGAGAACTGGGCCTCATCTTCTCAAGTACAATAAGATTCTGTGGCTTTTCCAGTAAGAGCTTCACTAAAGATCCTCAGCTCAGTTCAGAGACTCAATTTATAATGACACTGAGTCCCCATTGTACCATTCTGGTGATGAAAAGGGCAGCAAACCCACACTGCCCCACAGCACAGTGTATGATCAGTGTACAGAGGTACCAAGAGCTGCTATTGAATAAGAGTAGGTACTTCTGGAGTAGGTAAATGAGCATCTCTGAAAGTGCTTCTTCTGTAACAGGCACAAAGAAACAAATCCATGTTATCTGAGGAGGTACACATATATATATATGATCTTAGTTTATTATTTCCTTTGAAATAATAGTGACATAAAATGCTCATTGTTACTGCTCCTCCCTTCCTCATCTTTTGCTGTCTCTAGCTTATGGTCCCTTTCTGGTGTTAACCCTTAGTCTGTAATCAGGTCCTATTCTCATGAAGAGGCTCTGTGAAGACACAGAGGCTGCATCTAAGGACTCACAAGCAGATCCAAACAGAGCCAGCTCAGACAGGTAACAAAAGAACTTGGTAATTCCTAGGATTTAGAGCACCTTTATGATTTCCAGGGACTGGCTTAACATTTGGCACAGCATGGTTAGCACCTCCGTTGATATAAAAGCTGGTATCAGCTATAGATACAATATCAGGCTGAGCCCTTCACCTGGTGTTTTGCCTCCTGTCCTTTGGAGACACAAAGCGTCACTGCGGATTTCATTAGGCATCTATTCTCCAGGTCCTGTATTTTTTTCCCCATTTACAAGTTACTGCAAACCACATTGAACCGACCATGACAAGGCTCCTTTCGCCTTCCTGCACATAATGAACTCCCTGAGGTTGGTATCAAACCTCTTATCAGAGCACTTCCCCAGGAAGCCCGGCACAACTCTGTGAACACAGGGCACGCGCCAATAGGGTAAAGCCCGTGGATGGTTTAACTTTGGGCTATTACTGTATAAAAAGAGTACACATGCATTGCCAGCAGATCTCACCTCGCCTACCACCAAAATGAAGGTCACTGTAAGTATCTGCACCACTTTTCTCATAAAATGGGTAAGGATGGATGGCTTTATTCTGAGTCTTTCTTGGTGCTGAACTGACTCGCACTGATTTGTGCAGGGGCTGCAGAGGGATGATGCCAAAAGGGTTGGGATAGCAGGGGTGGGATGTCACTTTTGGCAGGGATTTCACTCCATGTGCATACTGAAACGTGAAGGAGAGAAGTGCTCTGCTACAAGGGCAATATTCCCTCATTCACAACTCAGGTGTAAGTCAGTCTCAGCAAGTCTGATAAAGTTAGGGCATGGCTGCAGTGTAGGGGAAGCACCATGGGACATGAAAGACTCCAAGTGCTTGACTCTGAAGCCAGGATATTTACAGCAGGATAAATCCCAAACTGTAAGTGAGAAATACTCTGAGTCACACTTGGATTCTTCTCATTAAAATCCTCCTTTGAAGTAGATGGAGCTTGTGACTAATTCAATATTGGAGGGATTGTCTCCAAGAGGATTGTTCACAATAATTATCACCAAAGAATTTATCATCACAAGGGTATTAAATCTCTCAAAAAGGTATCAGCAGCAGTTTTGACAAATCTGAGCAACAAGCATGTGAGTCACTGAAACTATAGTATTTTGTAAGTGGGTGAGAAAGTGCTTAACCCTTCATTTTCTGTAACAGAAATGACTGTTCTACCCTTACACGATTAGTCCTGCATTCAGAGGCATGAGATCTATTATATTCAAACCCCATTTCTGCTGTGTTTTGAGTACAGAGCTGTGCTGTGCACCCAGATTCCAACCCTTCGCAATAGGTGCACATGGACCTTTCATGCATCTGCTCCAGGTCTGAAAGCTAAAGTTCACTCCTAAAATGGAGCATTTCAGCCCTCTTTCTATAAGGAGTTCAGTGTTTTACAACCCTCTATTGAAATGATGCAGAAGTATGCTACTGAGGGTAAGAGAAGTTATCATTAACAAAAGAAGCCTTCTGTATATTCAGCCAGACCCCACTTCAGATACATGCGAGCAGGTGCACAAAGGCAAACTGGAAGTCAGAATGCTTTTATAACAGCAAATAACCTGATGCCAGATGACCATTCCCAATGTCAAAGTGCTGTGACTTTCGAATGTTCATTTCAGATCGTGATTGCTTCTCTCCTTGGTGTTTTCCTGGCGCCAGCTCTTGCTCACAGGGTAAGTACGGAGCTACCTGTGATCATACACTGCTGCCACAGGAACTAGTGGCTTTTAGATGTCTCTGAAAAAGAGGGTGTATGTTGAAGTCTGATACTTAGCAGGAAACCGCATTGTTTTGATACCAAATAAGATATTTGGTATAAAAATACATGATATGGAAGTGCTTGATATATTGAGGTGAAGCAAGGCAGTTGCTAGGCGTGAACTCAAAGCCTGTCTTGAGATAAGCGTAAGCACAAAACCCCAAATATTAGGATGTGACCACAAAATACAGTGAAATAAAGACCCCACTGCCTGCACATTCCTGCTGCAGAAAGAACAACAGGGAATTCTTTTGCTTTCCTTGGAATTTTTTCTTACAAGCTTGACTCAGCATCCAGCTTAAAGAACATTCTCCCATGGGACAGTGAAACAAGCATTTCACACATCTCTATGGGGGGAATAGAGCAGTAGTGTTAAAGCTTGGCTGCCTTTGTAAGGTGGCTGCAGACACGTGAAAACCAGGTCTAGATAAAGCCTGAATGTCAGGTTTGACCCAACAGTTCTCAGGCCAGAAAACACCTTGCCTTTAATGGGATCTGTAAGAGCAACCGCTTCCCAAAAGGTGGCTATGGGAGCTATGGCTTAGGGTGAACAGAACCCCACCGTCCTCAATCCTCACCTCTTTTCATCTGTTCCCAAACCCAGAAAAGCGAGAGAAACCTCAAGGGGCACCGCAGTGTGAGCTTGTTCTATGACCCAGAGGACAACATCTACCCAGAGGAGGGCTCCGACCCTTGGAAATCAGTCTGGGATGTGAAGACGGTGAGTGAGTGCCCCAGTAGTGCAAACCCCATGGGAGACAGCAAAAAGGTCTGTCCGAAACACCCGAGCTTCAATAACACTTGACAAGATTCTATAGGAGATGCTTCAAAACGTTCTCATTGAACCCCCTGAGTGCTTCTGCTGCGCTGATGTTTGTAGCTGAGAATCCCTACACCCGACTCCAGCAGTGTAAAACCTCATGCACAAAGTGGTATGGATAAAGCAATTTACCCATTACCAGTCCTTTGTCAGCCTCAATGGCACATTTACCTAGGCAATATCATTGAAAAAGCTCTGTTTTCTTTCGCTGTTATTATTTTTACTGTATGAAGCTTTATTTCTTCTTCAAATCAGTGCTTCTCTCTGGCAATCCTCTTTCACTGTATATTGCTTGCAATAAAAAGTTCTTTCTTTTCTTTCCATAGGGCTATGTTGCCACCAAGGTATTGTCAAAACACACCTGCATCATCTCTAAAATGGACGAGAGTTTCCTGTTTGATGACGGGTTTCCTGAGCCACCTCTAGGCAACCAGGTAGGAGGGTGAATGAAAGCAGTGAGAAAGCTGATCAGTGACCTGTGAAAAGTCCTTGTTCCCTACACACAGAGCAGGAAAGGCTCCAAGAACCAAAGACAAGCTTCTCAGCAAAGCTGAGTCACTCTGAAGGTTCTGCCATGTCAAAAGCTGCACTTCAGGAGCCCCTCATCCATGTTCAAAGCTGTGCAGAGAGACTCAGCTCCATCCTTGCTGTCTCTAAATGCTGATGTCTGGGCTTGTCTCTTTGCTGCTCAGGGATCTGACCCTCGCCCGCTTCCACCCAGAGAGAATCGCCTCCTCATCTCAAGAGACAGGCTCCAAAGCTTGCGCCCATATGGAAAACGCATTCAAGCCCTGTGCAGAGGGGTTCCCTCTTACCTGGCTTACCCAGCTGCTGGTCAGTATGCACTAACAGTGTTTGTACACCAAAACAAAGAGCAGCGAGGTTACAAATAGGGAATGAAGATGTGCAAGCTCCTCACTGAAATGCTGTGGTTTTCTATGGCTCCTTATACATGGGGGAATGAATACCTAAGGAAGAGCAATAGATTTGTCATCCTTGTGCATGTAACGTGGACACCAGGCTTTGGGCTCTGGCTGCTAACACAAGCCTCAATTGTTTCGGCAGCTTCATGCACATACAATACCTCACTACCACTGGTTCTGCCACAGCACATCTTTGAGGTTCAAACCCCAATATACAGCTTAGATTTGTTGAAAAAGATGGCACTAACCATTGCTTGTGGTGTAAGTTGAGAGAGATGCAGCTCACTTATTCTCTCAGTGCAAATCTAATCAGTTCTTCCTTTTCTTTCAGGCTCAAACTTCGTTATGGAAGAGGCTTCATGCTTCAAAGTTAAGGTTAATGAACAGCTTTTCCATTACTGTCATTAATTCCTGAAGGATTAGACCAGCATCTGCATGAACAGGATTTTCCTCCCCGATAACCCGCTCTTGATCACATTTTCAATCATTCCTCTGTCTCTTCTGCTCTTGTATCTCAGTAAAATTTATCATCACCCTACACTGGTCTGTGCTGTGTTTTTACAAACCCTTTCAGAAAAAGAAGCAATTCCCAAGAGAAGTTGCTAAAGTAGTGTTCCGACAGAACCCCAATGTGGGCGTTTCAACCTCATCCCCTATCATTCCCAGTGAGATTTCACATGCTGCCTTAAGCAATTATTAATCAGAGTAAAAGCAAATGGTGCTAAGCAATTACAAAGAGACAGATGCTCTATTGCTCTGATCAACCCAGAATAAGAGAATAAGCATATGAAATGCAACTTGGAGCTGCATTTGGAGCTGACTACAGGTGGTACTTAATGTTTTATAGGTATTTCACACAGGAAGCATGAAAGCATCCCTTCACCAAGTAAAAGTTGGACATTTGAACAACTCAAAATGCAGTTAGGCCCAAACTAAGGGCTGGTTTCTTCATCTAAGACAATCACTTCAGTAACTCTGTCTAGAAAATACCACATCTTCATCTCTTCCCTCCTTGCTCAGGGGCCCTCTTATTGGATTGAAAGCAATTCCTTTAAGAGACCCTTTACCCATTGAGGAACAGTCAAGAGTTGCTCTATATAAAAGATGTAGAAGCCTGTTCTGTTCAGGAAATGTTTTGAGGGGGTCTTTAAGAGTCAACTGACATTAACACCAAAGCAAAACTCCAAAGAAAAGCAAGCATCCTGCTGCAGCATTTAACTAAAGCTCCCATCCAATGTGCCTGAGGTTTCTGGAGAGAATCTCTTCTTCTTTTCCAACCTTAGACTGCCTTTTCCCAGGATAACCCAAACACCCTCTTCACTTATCCCAGTTAGGGTTGGAAAGGACCTTAACATTATCCAGTTCCAACCCCCTGCTATGGGTAGGGACACCTCCCATTAAACCGTGTCACCCAAGGCTCTGTCCAACCTGGCCTTGAACACTGCCACGGATGGAGCATTCACAGCTTCCCAGGACAACCCATTCCAGTGCCTTGCCACCCTTATAGTAAAGAACTTCTTCCTTATATCCAATCTAAACTTGCCCTGTTTAAGTTTGAACCCATTACCCCTTGCCCTGTCACTGCAGTCCCTGTCACTGGGAAATGTCTTTCTGGAGCTCTTGAAGACCATGGTCTAGGTTCTGTAACAGATGATGATTTAAAGGTGCCCAAGGTGTCAGGGATCTGACCTGAGCAGGGTCTGTGGTACCCTGCGGGCAAACAGGGATAACTCTCAATCAGACTCACACAGGTCTCCTTGACAGGGAACACTGATGCCTGCTCCAATACCCTCTCATTTAAGGTCAAAAGTGCCCTAAACATGGAATATAATTGCCTTAAAATTACCTTAAGCATTAAACATAATACATCTGCAGCAAGGTCCAGTTTCTTACAAAGCTACTTTAACTTGATGCAGAGTCCTATTCTTACTATAACACCACACATTGTGATGCTTAATACTACTTCAAGCTTTTTTCATTCCACGGAGAGCTTAACCATGTGTCTTACAGTAACATTTCACACCTTGCAGGAAACACCCAATTACTACTGACCCAGTGAAAGAAAGGAGCTGCTTTTTCCCCATCCAAGGAATTTTTATTGTTTTATATAGTAACATCCCCCATTTGTCTTATTTTTTTTTAATAACATGTTGAATTCCAGTTAAAAAAAGCAAGTTTTCAAACTTTACAAGCTTTTCCCCTGCCATGGGCTGCACACAAAATGAAGCTGAGCAACTTGACTTAAACCCTGAGTATTCCACAACCTCCCTGGGTGATCGCCTCTTTCAGTATTTGTATCCCCAAGGAAAACAGTGGGAGACAAGGTGAATAAAATTATGGTTGTCAAACAAAGAGATACCCAAAGACTTGCACATCCATGGAATGTTCCAGCTTGAACTGCCTATGGATTGTAAAACGTTGTTCGATGTTGTGTTCGGGCCATGGATTTCGTTGGGCGCTGTGGTTACATGGGTAGCACACAGTACATTTTGGAAGGTACAAGGGCTCTTATTTATTTGTCTAGTTCAATGCTTTGGGGTTTTTACCCCTTAGGTTATCTCTGGTCTTAAGTTTGATGTTAATTTTCAAAAGCAATTAGCTAGAAGGTTACTAGAAGACATGTTTGATTTTCCACTGCAAATGGTTTCTTACCTGATAATTATCAGGTCCCAGTTTGCAGAAGCACAATCCCCATATTCATGAGGGAGTTTGAGCAGGAAACCATGTTCAGTAACATGCAAACAGGGATACAAATGGCAAAATCATTGTATTTCAACATTTAAGCCTTCCACACCTGATTCTGGAAACATATATAAGTTCTCATCACTCATTCTGCCTGCACTAGCGTCAGCTCTGCGGTCAAGATGAAACTCACTGTAAGTATGCATGCTTCTTTTCCTCCTCATAAACTCAAATTGATTCAAAGCCATTGCCTTTATCTCTCCAAAGTGCAAGTGCCTATCTAGAGCAAAAAGGTATTATCTGGAGAGCATTTTCTCTTCCAGAGTGAGCAACTCAGGCTCCATCAATCTCCTCAGATGAAGGGGTAAGGATCTGCAGGAAGGCTAAAATCCATGTCCATTTTTATCAGTGCGTTTGCAGAACTGGGGCAATGCCCTAATGGATCAAGCATGTTCTTGCAATGCTCCAGAAGAGAAATTTCTCTTCATTCTAGGGAAGTATCTGGGTATTACTGCACAGTGTCAAAAGCAACTGCAGATTCACCTCTTAAAGAAGGAGTTTTTTCCATGTCTATTTTGCATTACTCTAGGGGAAAGCAAGGGCTATCATAATTCCAGTATGCCAGCCCAAAAAGATCCAGGTTACACTTAAACTCCACATTAGGAATTAGGATTCTCAGGACCAGGTTTGTCAGCCAGGCCTGCAGTAACACTTTGGTTTCCCATTTTCATTTCAGATTGTGACTGCCGTCCTTCTCGGAGTCTTGTTGACTCCAACCCTTGCTGAAGACGTGAGTACAGGGACCAAGTGCCACATCCATTGATGCTGTTTCTATGTTCCCTTGCATTTTCTTTCCTTCTTTCCCCATCCTTTTGGAGGAAATGAACCTAAAACATCTTTGTACATAAAACTCTTAAACGCAGCAGATGACCATTGTGAGATATAGGAATTATTCATGGAACTATTCCGGAATGCCACAGCCTTAATTCTTTGTCATGTTGAAAACACTGTGGTCACTCTGGGTGCTCCCTGTTGGCAGCATTGCTTCTATTGCAGCAGTGATTTGGGGACATAATTGACTGATTTGGAAGTCTTACAGTGTTGTTTAATTCTGTTTGGTAGTTTCCGAATCCAGAAGGAGGAAACCAAATTGCTGTTGAAGGAGGCTACCAAACGCTGAACCTCAACAACGAATGGCACGTGGCAACTATTGAGCAGAAGAGCACCCATGGCTCATGGAAAACCATTTGGAACTACGATAACGTGAGTGGCAATTGCTTTATCAGAAGATAGAGCTGACCAGAATACAGGACTTCTTTCCTTGTTCTTAACATTTTGAGTTTTGGAGTGGAAATTACCGGCATTTATTACTTTAATACAGATTTTATTCCAATGTTAATTACTGAAAAACTGAATTCTAGTTGTCAATACCTTTCTTTTCCAGGGCTTTATTGCAACCAAAGTGCTGCCTGACAGATCTTGCTTCATCTCCACCATGAACAGAGAAGAGTTCCCTGGTTTCGACACACTTCGCAGCCTGACTGAAGAGAACAGGGTAAGAGTAGCTACATGTGGAGTTGCACAACAGTGCAAAGCAAACAGATGACAGAGGTATCACCACTTGCAAAAAGCTTTTTAATCAACAGTTACTTAAAACCCGTTTAGATCACACCATTGATTATGAAGCTGCATCCATTTCAGTGACATTTTGCATTAACCTTTGACAGGTTAGAATGGCCGCATTCAGATGCTCGTGGTGGAGGGCATGCATGTTTTAATGATGGTTTAAAAAGCAGGCAATCTTTTTATATTCTTTTATGTTTGGAGACTTTTGGCTTGGTACTCATTATAACCTCAAATTCTTTGCAGGCTAAAAAGGGTTTTAAGCAACTCGAGTTGAGAAAGAACAAATAACCCAGTAATCAGGAAAAAAGGTTAAGATTCAAGCTTTCAGAGCCTTTTCAAAGCATCACATTAGCATGAGTTCTGCCATCAGAATTAGCACAGGCATTTAAAAACACACCGCAGCATTCAGCATAGGAGCCATTTGCAGTCACTGGCTTCCCTGGAAGTCTGAGAGCTGAGTCCTTAGGAGAATCCTGGCTTTTAAGGGCAAGAAGGCAGGGTGGGGAAGAAAAAGGGGAGAGTTACCCAAGTGCAGGCTTGAGCGAAACCATCCACCTCTAGCTGTACCTGCAGGCTTGCTTGTACTAAAGTGCATCTCTGTACTTGCTTGTACTAAAGCTCATCTCAGCACCTTGCTAACCAGCAGGAGGAGGCACATTGGAGTGGGCTTTCAAATCCCACCATCATTTCGAAAGCCTGCATTCATCCCATTCATCCCTTACGCTATGTGGGTCTTTACCCTGGAATTCATCAAGCTGTTTCTTAACTGTGGTTATTCTTTCTTGAGAGGCTGAGCTTTCACAGGTAGAAGGATTTTATTCCTCTGAACAGGAATGTGGCTTGGGAATTTGCCATGGGGGTGGTTTTCCCAACGGAAAAGAGTAGGTGCATCACTCCCCCCCCCTCCCAGCTCTGTTTTCTCTGAGGAACTTTAGGTCTGCAGGTTGCTAAGAAACAGCTTAAATTAGGAAACCTTCAATGGCATTAATTATTTTGGGATAGCAATACCTAAAAATAGCTCTGAGTCATTTCAATAGGAAATGGCATTTTCATTCCAGAACGTTGCTTTGCAGATGCTATCGTTCAGACCTCTATGTTCCTTTAGGGAACAAGAGAGCATCTCTGGGTTCAGCAGCCATTCCTCCCTGTTAAGGGCATGAGCCAGAACAGGAGTCCACAAGGCTAAGTCATCATTCCAGAAATAGGAATATACATAGCATTAAATGCACTGACCTTGCTGAATGATGTTATTTGATGTTTAGGTCCTGGAAGGTGAAGAACAACACAGAAGGGAGGTCACATTCATTGTCAAGGGACCTGTCCAGGACCTCAGCTCCTATGGCCCAGACATCTCCAATATGTGCAACGGACTCACAAGCTACATGGCTTATGAAGTTCGGGGTGAGTGCAGGCAAAAGAACAATGTCTGTATCCAGGCTTTTGTTTGGTTTTCCTTGGGGAGTAACACAAATGCTGCTGTTCCAACTGGAGGTGGACACAAATCGGTGTCTTCGTAGATCAGGGTTGGAAGAGTGTTGAGCCTCAACCTCCACAATGATCTGATCCAAACCCTTGCTACTCCTTTAGTAAAGCTTAAGATGGCTTAAGTTTTGGCTCAGGGGTTTGCAGCTTTAATGCCAATGCAGAGAAAAAGGGTGCTCCTAAGAACTGCTCTCCTTCAGGCTGCTGCTAAGTTTTCCAAGGAATCCCACCAAATCCTTGTGTTTCACAATACTAAGCCAAGTTGCTCCATTCCCTGTAGGTTTTGTAAGGTATGGAATGATCCCATTACCTGGGAGTTAATAACTTATACTTCACAGGGTTCTCTGGTAACAAGAAAGCCTGACGGGGCCTCATAACCAGCACAACCATATAATGCACTGATAGTATAGGGTGCACCAGTGTCCCTCTATACTGCAAATCCCAAAGGATAATAAATAGCATATCTTTGATCATTCCTTCCTTTGGTACAGATCTAGCTGTGTTTGGTGGCTACAAAAGGATCTTTTGATGATGCATGGAAGGTATTTCTAGTGCAGCAATGAGTAAAAGCATTGCTCAGAGCAATAAAGATACACCATTGCAGAACTCCAGCTATTGCTATGGAGACCCATCTACATCAGCTCTCTTGCTGTGAGGCCATGACTATATTTTGATCATTTGAAACAGGATTTCTTGTACTGTGGGGAAACAAGAAGTTCTTTTCAATTACATAGGAAGGAACTGAGTTTTACTCCTAGGAGTTAATCCTGGAGCACCAGCAGATTACTCAGAGCCTTACTGCAAGCCGATTGTAGACCCTATCATGAGAAAGATGCTCTGCAGATCAGGCCTAGGATGGTGCATTCTGACACAGCAGCATTTCCACCTGCTCACTGCTTGCTTTGCTGCTTGAGATGGATCAAGTCAATTAAAAATGAGTGCAGTGTGCCAGGTATCAGGGGCTGGCAGTGAGCACCCATCTTCAGTATTAGCCCACGGTATTCTGTTTTCTTGTTCTTATAGGACCCCAAGACACATACAATGAAGGATCTTGCACTACACTTGATGTCATGCATGCTGTGGACCTTAAATACTGCCGTGGTTATGAAAATGTGTGAAAATCTTGCCTTTCTTGAACCAAGATGCTCGAGAGCTGCTACACAAAACCAACCCCGAAACTGTTCTTCCCTGGCATCTCTTCTGAGAGTGTTTTCTTGATGATTCAGATGCTGAAACAGATCAACTGGTGACCATATCTTTCAATTAAAGATCTTTAGCATGGGTTAACTCTGGCTACTTTCTCATTTCTATGCCATTTATCAGCTGGGGGCACATACAGAAAGCAATACCTTGATTGCATCCCTCCTACCCCTGCCGAGCCCTTAGAGGCCCTTAGAGATGGGCAAGTGTCAGCCTATGTACATTACAAATAAGGCATGCAGAGTTAAGACTTTCCCTTTCCAGAGTCTTCATTCACGTGGCATGAAAGGTAGAAAGAAAGAGGAACAACACAAGGAATTTGCCTTTTTTAGTGGAAGAGAAGTCTATTTGTAGGATTTAGAGCTGTCCTGTTCCTAGGTCCTCCGTTATTTCCTATGGAAAGACTATGGATAGTGGCACTCAGGTACAGGGGGTTTTAGCAAGGCAAGGTCCCTATTGCTCAAAACTTCAAAGATGATTTCCTCTGTTCCATCAAAATGCCTTGGGTTTTCCAGGTGACTGCACTGGACACTGGTCCCTAGGGGCTTTGTTCTGCAGGACACAGAGTCCACTTAGGCACATCTCGGGCAGAAGCATCTGAATTAGGGGTTAGCATCTGAATGTGTGGGTTAGCACACATCAGGCCTAGCAGAGGAGAGAGACAGACAGCAGTTTGTTGTGGCTGATCACTTTCCTTTCTGGAATCACTCAAGTTCCTTTAGCTCCTTCCCACACCATCCGCTCTCAGCAGATGGACACATTGGCTTCACTCTGCTGGGCTGAGAGCTCTGCAGAGCAAATACAGCAAGAGCAGTCTTACTATAGCTCCTCCAGCCTGTTCCATCCTCCAGCACTGCAGGGGATGACTGTAGCCCAGCAGGTGACATTCAATGGCAGAGAGCACATGGCCACAAAGTCAGCTCTGATACACGCTGCTTTGGGGTTTCCAAAGACCACTGCTGCACCTGCATATACCTCTATGCATTTTGCCCTATAAAAGAAGTGCAGCATCAAAGACAATAGACAATACTCAATCAAAGGAGACTTTTAAGCATGATTAGGAGAAGATGATGGGGCTGAGGAGGGAAAAGTATTCCAGTTATCACTGCATCCAGTCTCCAGTTTGGAGTATGTGTCAGTACAGTTAACCTCTTCCAATGAAAGTCTTCAAGGAGGAACAGGATCAGTTAAGATACAACATCTTGCCTTGTAGATGAATGGTCACCTCCTCCATGATTATAACACTTTGTAAGGGGCAGGTCAGACACTGCAGGTCCAACAGTCCCTGTGGTAACAGGAAAAATAAATCCTTATTTTTAAATCCCATAGGATTGGGTGAAATGCAGTCAGTAAATCCAAATCCTCCATCCTGCACAGCTCTGCTCCCTCCTGCTGGCGCCTGTGCTTATCCTTAGCCCGAAACACAACCGCAGAAGATCCTGCTATTCCATTTAAACCAACAGTGCTTCAGCAGTGCTGCTTGTGTGCTCATTGCTGACAGATGCGTGTTTCTACGTAGCCATTGTTACCTTAGACTGAATTGCTTTGGATTCATGCAATTTAAGGTCTCCGGGGTGCTAATTACTGCTCAATATCTACTCAAATACTAATAACCACTAATAATCACTGTCCAAATATCTGAGCAAATGGAGCAGTTAGAAAGGCATCACTGATGACAGATGCCCCTCTGATAACCTGGGCTGAACTTTGCCTGGCTGTAAGTGAATGTAAAAAACCCACTTGCAGAGGTGCTGCAAGGATGCTCCAGCCTTGGCCAAGTGCTTGGGATTGGTTAAAGGCAAACACAAGCAATACACATGCAACAACACTGGGAAGGCTGTTGAGAAGTGTGTAGCTTTATTGCACAGCCCTTTGCCTACAGCTCTAACCAAAGCTCATCTAACTGCACCCCTTGCTCCTAGGCAGAGGTTGAAACCCAAGACCTGGAAAGCAATGGTGTGGCCTTCTTAGATTATGGTAACATTATTCCCTACCCCATATTTTCTCCTATTTGGTACATTACAAGCAATGGGGTTTCATCTGTCCACTTCAGAGACTACTGCTCTTCAGGAAGGTGTTACATACATACACAGAGTGAAAAAGGTACTGCAACAAACATCACCAGGGGAATAAGGCAGCACAGCTTTACGTGCTGCAGCAGAGGGAAGTGAAATCAAAGCAGGGCAGAGTCAGATAAAAGTAAGGGACAAATGAGTTTTGGAATTGGGGGTTGGAACTAGATGATTGGGGGTTGGAATTGGATGATCTTAAGGTCCTTTCCAACCCTACCTATTCTATGATTCTATGAAATATGGATCCCTTGAAAACTTGGAGCAATCCAGGGAAGGAAAAACGCTTCCTTGGCCACTGGGTGACAGCCTTGAGTTGTACGTTGTGCAATTGAAATGGGAACTCACAGCCAAAGTCTGCTGTCCTACACCGTGTAGATCACAGTAGCTCCGCTGGGCGCATTTCACAACCTGGAGATACAGGGGGTGAATTTAAGGACTTGTCTATACTGACAATAGGGAAATAGTTCCTGTGCGGTGATAATATGTTTGTGATAACAACATTGGGCACTGCAGGCAATTTGCTACAGCTCAATTACCCATGCAGATGCTGTAACAGCTTCCTGAAGGGCCATGAAAACTAGAGAACAGAAGCCATTACACAGATCAGACTCTGTGAGGCTAAGGGTGCCCCCCCATCAAAGACACCCAAGTGAGCACCCACAGAACCTACAGGACACTGTCAGGGCCTACATCTCCCCTATCGGCAACACCACAGGTACCCCAAACTGACAGAGCTGCCTTCTTCCATGCTGTGGGCTTCAGAAAAGGCCCCATGGACACATAGAAGTGACTAGATGATCATAGAATGGTTTGGGTTGGAAGGGACCTTAAAACTCATCCAGTTCCACCCTTCTGACACAGGCACAGACACCTTCCACTACAGCAGCTTGCTCCAAGCCCCATCCAACCTGATCTTGACCTATTCACACACTAAGGGCATCAGCTGGAGCTTAATTAACCCCTGTTAACTGCTGTATGCAATCAGACCCCTTATTATATATAAAGGACCGGAGCTCTTGGTCCTTTAGATCTCAGATGTTGCCTATGTGAGAAACAAGGCCGTCTCCACGTATCCCTGTGTGATCGCTGCTCTGTTCGCCCCTAAAGCTGATCTGTAGGTGCTTGGTGCGCTCGGGATGCTTAAAGCCAGAGACCCTGCTCAGCCCGGGGTCCCACCACGAGGTGGCATTCTCAGAGCTCTTTTTCCCTCCTGAAAACCAAACCTCCCCATCCTTCCTAATAACAACAATAACCGAGGAAGGGGGGGAAAACACCCTCAAACCCTGCCTGTGTTGCCTGGAGCGTGTGACAAAGCCGGGTTTTGCCAGGAGGCTGCTGCTCCTTTCGCACAGCGCTGGTGCCGCTCCGAAGGAGGCTCCAGTCCCTTTAAGTAAAACAAAAGTGGAATCCAGCATTGTGCATCTTGAAACCTGAGCCCCAGGACCAGGAGTGCGAGGGGGAACAACGGGAAAGCCTCGCCATTCCCGAGGACAACTGCCGCGAGTGGAGCTTTAAGGGGTAAAAGACGCTTTTAAGAGGTCGGTGGATGGCTTTTGTGCAGAGACCTGTGAAGTAAAGGAGCCCGGGAAGAAGAGAGTTCTTTTTCTCCTCCTCTCTGGATACAATGGCCATTGCAAAGCGAAGCAGCTTGAGATCTGGCTTCAAATGGCTCTTCCTTGCGACGTTTATGCTAGCCTGCGATGGACAAGGTGGAAAGCGAGAGAACGGGGGTCCTGCCTGTTACGGGGGATTTGATTTGTATTTCATTCTCGACAAGTAAGTGAGTTCTACTTTGTTTGCAAAGAAATCTTTCTCCTCTGCATGCACTGGGGTGGCATATACCGATCCCGAGGAGTTTTCCTTGGATTCGGGTTTGTGGAAGTCACTGTGTCCCTGAGGGACCTGCCAGACTCCCAATTGCTGCTCTGGGCTTTGGTTTTGTTGCTTTGGTCGGTCTGGTCTATAATGCCATTGGACTCTATAAATCAGATTGTTTTCAGTGTTGCTGGGGCTGGTAACGAAGCTTTGTTGTGTGCTTGAAGGGGTGGTTGGGAAAGGGCAGCTCCATGGTCCCCTCGGGTTTCCCGATGGCCAGAGGAGGTTGAGGCACTCCTGGAAGTGGGTGCTATAGTTGCAGGCGTTACTTCTATAGCTGAAAAGGTGGAGGCAGTGCTCCTGCCTGGAGGTCTGATCCTGTTCCACTTGCTCCCGAGCTCCGTACACTCTTCCCTGCCTTCTAAAGCAGCAACTTCCAGGTAACCACTGGCTCTGAGAGTCGTCTTCTTCCCTTTGAAAGGGTCTGGCTTTGGCCATTGTGATGGAAAACAGCCCTATTTAAAGAGACCTTTATTTGCTCTGCTGAGTCACATTCTCTTTGTTTCCTCTTAATCAATTGCATATTCTGTTTATATCGAAGATAACTTCCTACCTCACTTTTTTCATCACCAGTTCTGATGGCACCATCTTTTTGGCACTGGCAAGTTTGCCTCTTTACAGGCCTTCGCATTCCAGATGAAGCAATATGGAATAGAAATGTGCTGAGCTTTGGAAAGTCAATACAACAACGGACAAAAGAAAAGAATAGGCCAGTACTAGCTACAGTGATTCTCCTCATTTTCTGGATTAAGAAGAGTTTTTTCCCCAGGGGACTGGGAATACTGGAGAATGTGTATGCCAGAGCCACGGTACTGACATTATTAACCATGGATTTCAGACACAGGAAAGTAGCTGCAAGCTGCCAAAGCACTCATTCTGATCCTCTGGAGTGTCTTGCAGTAGCTCCCACATTCCCTTAGCATAAAAGACTTGGAATTCCATAACACTTTGTTACAAAATACTGGGTAAAAAGTCAGGCTGAGACTGTGGCTATTGAAGTGTGCTGCTTGTCCTAATGCTTTGAGTCTTACTGCTTTCTTCAGTGGCAAGATCTAACTGCCTAGTGCATTGTGTTGCTTCGGCTGCTCAGCCATTAGTTGGAATACTCTTATTGCTCCACATCAACAAACAAAGCCAGAGCATGGCTTGTCCTTCAAATGCGTTTCCCTGGCACTTGAAGCAGGATTGGCGGCTCTCACATCTGGTGGATGTGTGTGTTACACCTGGGAGCCGATGCAGTTTTAACAGGCACTGATTTCCAGATCTGGGCAGTCCTCTTGCTAAAAGCCATCACTTTCTAGCCTTGCTTAAGGGGTTATTTGGGTGGAAATAGGAGGCTTGGCACAAGCTTTAAAGCAGGCAGGCTTACCGCAGTGTATGCATCCAGGTATCCAGCGAAAAATCCTGCCTTGAGAACTGCAGGTTTTCCATTTCTGGGATTTTTCTGGTGCAGAAATGAACAGGAACTGATGTAAAAGTTTCCGTGGTCTCTAATGGGGTTTGGAGGAGAGTTACAGTGCTTAAGCTGCTCATGAGAACAATATGCCATGGGCCTGGATGTTCAGCCTTTGAGGAGGCTGATGGGGACTTTCTGTGGTGGAATAGGTTATCCCATATCCTTTACCTTTAAAACTCTGTCGTTCCTCAAGGCTCAGCTGAAGTTCTAAACAACTTGAGTGCTCTTTAGCCTGCGTTTCCCACCTTCCCGTTGTCAGAGGCTGATTTCAGAAGTCCTGGATGCAGTGAGGTAATGCCTATAGAGGCCTTGAGGCAAACTATGAAGTAACAGGCTCAGGGCTCACTGCTTTTCTTTGAAATAGCTCTAAAAGTGACTCAAAATGATTAAAAGTGACAGAGGGCACCAGGGCAGGAGAGACTGAGGTTCTCAAACATGAAACGTGAGTCTCGGTGGTGGATGAAAGCCATTGAAAGCATTGAGCAACCTACTTGCTGGGATTAAAGGAGTAATAAAAACAACAAACACAGCCCTGGAAGCCACCAGCATTGGAGCCCTCCACTGGCCCTTCTGCCTCATGGGTTTAGTGACTCCTCAAGTCCATTTAGTGCCCTGTGCACGTGCTGCTGTAGGATGTGCTCCAGCTGCTGTGCTGGGCTTGGTCCTTGTCCCAGCACTGGCTCTTGAAGCACATTGGGCTGCAAGAAGCTTCACAACATGAACATGTAACCCATGGGGAAGGAGCACGTGTTATGGGCTGCTCTCATCCAGGGATGCTCTGACTTCCTGCGATGCTCTCCTTAAGCAAACCCGCTGTCCCAAGCAAACTGGGTTTCCCCCGGCTGTCTGCAGGCAGCTGGAGATGGGAACTCCCTCCTCAGGGGACCTGAATCCAATCTCCCATTCCTTATGGTCACGAAGGAGAAGCAAATCCAGGATTCAGCTGTTCAGGAATAATCCCATTAAGCTCTGCAGCCTGTGTCAAACACCAGCGAAGCTTGAATGATGCCAGACAGGCTTGTTAGGGGACAGTAGCCTCCTGTGGGCACTTGAATGTCTGGTATCACTTCCAAGAGCTCTCACCCAGCTTAGGTAGGAGCAGAGGGGCCTCTCATACTGTGGCCATGGGACCTCAGCCTGGCAGAGTTATGATTCAAAAGTGATGCAAGGATGCAGTTTTGCTGAAGGAGTTGTCTTCACATGGATTAAGACTGAATGAATCCATTTCTCTTGTGCTTTGGCTGCAGAAAAAGCAAAGGGAGGTAGGGCTACAACTCAACTGGATGCTATTTGGAGTACAGTTGTATGCTATTGAGGTGACACGGGATCTAGTCCCACAGGGTGCTGAGAATCTCACAGTGGAGGCTGGACCAAGATGCTGTGGAAGGCAAGGGAGAATTGCTGAGAGCTGGTCCTAGATGGCACAGCCCCAGCCTTTTGTGTTCCTGTGCTGCTGAGGGGCTTCATGCACCGAGGCTCCCATAGACTGATGGTAGCAGAACAGAGGGCAGAAGATGGTGCAGCCTGGATGCACGATAAGATACAGGCCCTTGTGAAGAAGGAAGCAGCCGATAAAAACCCAAACATTTGGGGTTTGCTGATGCTGATATTGCAGAAACATCATCCATGCAAGTCATTCATGAAGATATGACCCAGCCCTGGGTGTCCTACTGTCACCCAGTAACTCAATGGACCATTTAGAGGCAGCTCCCAGATGAATTTAGTTGCAGGTATGGAGGAAGGAATAGCAATGAGGATGTGTTCTCAGTAAGCTGTGGCTGAATCCACTGTATGTCAGAGCTGCTCCTTCCTGTGCTCTTGCCTACTGTGGGCATTTATACCCATGTGCAGAAAACTTGTATGTGTGAAGGAAAACTTGGCTCTGAAAGATCCTTGGCAAGACAAAGCGAGTAATCCAAGCTGTTTCCAATGATCCCTTCATTGCTCAGCCAGACAGCTGACCTGGATTTAACCACTTGTGTTGAAGTGAAACTCCTGCTCTAGGGAGGCTGTTGGTTAGGGTCTGAGTCTAGCTTGAGCAGCTGGAGTTACCAGGACTTAAGTGAGACTAAGTCCAGATTTACACTTGGTGTAGAAGACCATAAGGGCCAGGGTGGGATGGAGAGAGGACAGACATGGAGGCTGACCTGTATGAACTGCTTCTCATCCTGGTGACTCTTCCTATGGGAAATATGAGCCATCTGCAAAGCCAACCCCAGGACCCTTACAGAGCAGAGTGATATTCCAGCTGCTCTAACCTGAAGAAATACAGGCCTTTAGTAGGTAATGGTAAAATTGAGTGTCTGCAGAAATAGATTCAAACTCATCCTTGATCTTCACTGACCCAGTCAGTGATTTCTTGGCTGTTTTTCTGGAATCACAGCCCAATTCCAGAGCAACATTTGTGTTGCATTTGGATAGTGGCCATTGCAAGCATAGGGAGGCTTGGTGTTCCTTTTGTCTCGGCTGAGGGCTCAGGGTGCTAGCAGGGCAGGGTGGAGAAGCCTGTTCATTCTTGTGTCTCTTTGCTTGTTGCCTAAAGGAGTGAATGAACTCCCAATGCTATGGGCAGCAATTGCAAGGAGCTCAGTGATTCCATGAAATCCCTGCCTGCTAGGACCTGTGGATATGATTTTAGCCAGTGGGAAATCTAAGGTTAACTATTCCTTGGCAAAAGGATTGGCAGGAGGTGCCTTCTACCCAGGGCCAAGTGTGTACCTGCAGCACTCTGCACTGTACCTACTGCTTGAGATGTAAATCCACTCATGGTTACTTGTCTGTCAGTTGTGTTTTGATGTGTCCACTGCCAGTCTGTAAGAGAAGGAAGCTCTTGAGCTGCAGTTGGGCTTAGAGGCTTATCCAGCTCCGAACTGCACCTCCAGACCCAGTTTGACAGCATCTCTTGTGAGCCGTTGAGTGTGGCACAGCACAGTAGTGTTTCCCCAAAGAATCAAACATCTTCGTGTTATTTACTGTCTCCAAATTGCTCCTGAAGTATTTGGAAAGACAAAGAACACTCTTTTTTTTTGCCTCATTTGTGTTCTTTTTAAGGACCTCAATAGAAAGATGCTGCAAAACTTCTTGGGTCAATGCCACCTCTGACAGCTCCGAGGCTTCTTGAAGTGAGTCCAAAGCTATGCGAGTGTAAGGAGAACATCAGCATCAGTCTCTGATTTGGGTGTCTTTACGTATCTCTATCGGGTGCAGGGCACAGAACTGGTGTGAAGTCTTTGTGGAAGAGTTTGTGGGCTTGATTCTGTTTTCTTCTGGTTTGTGAATTAAAGAAAAGCATGGGGACCCTGAGAAGGTGCAATGAGAGGCTGGAGAATGAGCAGTCTAAAAAGTGCAAGACACCATAAGGAGTTTGGGTTGCTGCAGCTTTGGGTTCTGGAGCAGGAGAAAAGCACCTGCAGGAGGGCAGGGTTTAGTCAGTCTGGAAGCATGGAACCATGTGGAGTGTCAATGTCAGTCTTGCATTGAGTTGAGATGTGCAAAATGCCAGCACAGTTGACCACAGAATGTCTCATTCTCTTGTCAAAGCCATAATGGTTTACTTAGTCTTAATTTCCATTTACTGGGTTTTTCTCCAGCAAGAGAATTTGGCATCCTCAAGATGAGCCTCTTACATGGCAAGTTTCTAGCATCAAGCATTCAGCTGCAAAGTGCTGGCTTGCTGATTATCGTGTTCCTCTCTGGGAATATGAAGAGATAATGATTTTAAATTTGGCTTTTATTATCTTAGAGTTAGGCTTTAGAAATCCTTGTCCCACTCTGAGTTCTTGGCCTGCTTTAAGAGAGGCTTTACAAGCGACAAGTGCCTTCTATCGCAGGGCTTCTGAGTAACACAGTGAGTAACTGAGCCAATGGTGCTTTTGTGAACACTCTGCTGACTGCAGGAAGGTTAGTTCTATTGCTTTTGTCTATTTTAGGTCAAGTGAAGACTTTAAAAAGCCTGCAGTGTGTTTCAGAAGATGGTTTATGTGTTGGAGGAGTAATTCTAAATGCAGACCTGGGCATTTATAGCCATACCCTTGGGCTTGACTAGATGGAGAAATTGGCTGCAAGTAGACTGCAAGTTATAGATGGAAGCCTTGCTGTGCTAGAAGGAGTTATTACGGTCAGCAAAGTGTGAGCCTTCACTTTGGGCCCATTCTATAGCACGCTGTGGTAGAGATGAGGAGCAAATGGGTTGTAGACTATTCCAGTTGTCCCACTTCAGTGCCTTCGGAACTGAAAGCAGGAACCATCCTCCTTTTGTGGGGTAGAGAGGGTTTGTTTTGATGATTGTAGCAATGGTAAGATCAGTCCTTAAAATAGGTGCTCACCATTCTTGAACTTCAGGTTGTTCCTTTTGTGTGCCAATAGATGTTTGGGAAGGCTCCATGGAAAAAGAGCTGTAGCTTCAGATGGGGGGAGTTTTGTTCCAGAGGGCATAAAGATGGGACTGTTGATGGGAAACCAGGGTGAGGATGCTGGAGGGGAAGGAGGTGCAGCAGGAGCTGAAGCTTATTGTGTGAAGAACTAAAAGCACTGCTTGCCCAGCAGAGCAACAGTTGCAGAGACAAACACCCGAGGAGGATGTGCTATTGATGTGTTGACTGGCACAGCCCTGAACTGAGCTCTTGGGTTCAGCTTTATCCTGGCAAATGCTGGTTTCTGACTTCCCAGAGCCATGGAAAATGACAGGGTTTTATGTGACAACCCACATACCTGATGCCTGCATCTCATTCCAGCTGCCCTGCTGCAATAATCATTCTATGGATGATCAACTTCAGTTCAAAGGGGAAGAAATAACCGTCCTTTTAAAGGCTGATGCAGCTTCTAGGGCAGTGTCTGGTTGCAAGTAGAGGTCAGCCACAGGGACTGAAAGCTGAGTTTCCCCATAACATGACGTGTAGTGTGGTTGTCCTACCTGCTGGCTGGAAGGGTGGTTTGGGTATACTTGTGAAAGGGTCTCGGTTCCATGTGTCTGACAAAGGATGGTTCAGAAGATGTGTGAAACTTCAGTGAGGTGTCCTTTTATGAGAGATGGATATATGGTCCAAAGCAACGTACATGTTTCATTGGAGGAGGTAGTAACTTGTTTATGGTTAGCAAAGCCTTGGCTTCGTGTGTCTTCTGGAGACCTATGTAACCACTGCTATAAAGCCATAGACTCATAGAACAGCCTGAATCTCCCTCTTTTAGTTTAAAACCATCACCCCTCATCCTATCACAACAGGTCCTGCTAGAAATCTCTCCCCCTCTTTCTTACAGGTCCCTTTTAAGAATTGAAAGGCCACAATAAGTCAAGTGTTTTCCTTTATGCCTCACCATATAATAACAATGAATACTTACTTCCCAGGTCAGTTCTCAGAACTATATGGGCCACGTGGCACTGGTGGGACTGCAGTGCCTGTCTCAGAGTTATTCCATAGACCTGAGAGGGATTTGTAGCTGCGGCTGAGCTTTGTGTGTCTCTGATCTATCAGGTTGGATGCAGTGGGAGTTAGCTTCATGTTTGAGAGCAAGTCCCTTTCATCTGTTATAAGATCCCAATTTTCCCACTGTCTGTGTGGTTTAATGAGTTTATCAAGGCTTGGTGTTGCTTTGGTCCTCCCTGATACAGGTTTGTATAGAGAACAAGTAATGGTTTCAAGTCCTGGTCTGATGACAGGAAGGAGAGCCAAGAAGCAACGCAGCACTGTTAACCTTTGCCTATGGCCAGGTCTCCTCTGCAATCTGTCCCTTACAGTCACAGACAGCACAGGAGTGCCTCTGAGGTTAAAGAGGTGCATTTGGTATCAGTCCTTTGTGCAGTGAGTGATGGAGAGTTCGTTGTTCTCCCAGATGGACCATGTGCCTTTGTACCTGTGCAAGGGCCTTCATTGCATGTCATTGGAGGTTGTCTTTGGACATGTTTTGGTCATATAGAGAAAGAAGAGCTTAAGGTACCATAGGTTGAGGTTTGCACTGAAGGGTTGCGAATGGCAGCTAGGTGTAGGGAGAATAACATCTCAAATGCTCATCTCTTCTTCCTCAGGCTGCAGTTCAATGGGTTTCTGTCAGAGCTTTCGTGGTTATTTCCTTATAAATGTTGTTAGTTGTAGCCAATGAATTAAATAAGTGATGACACATGGATTTCCCAGTGCCAGGAAGGGTTTTTTTTTCCCCCAATATTAATATTCCAGTGTTCACAAAAATGTTGATGCCAGAAGGGGCATTTAATGCTGAAAGATTCTAATGAACCTAATTCTCTCCTGGTTCTTACAACATAAAGAACAATCCAATCCCATTGTGGTCCATGGTTTGTCCTCCTTTAGCTGAGGGGTGCATGGATTAGCCAGAGCACTTGAGATGTGGCTGAAGGTGTTTCACTTTCCCTGCTCTCCAGCACAGTGGAAGCACTGGAAGTTTCCTAACCTGTTCCTCCAACTGCATTTGAGTCTCTAAATACACTTGAGCTAAAAGCTGTGTGTAATGGGAGCCTATAGGGATGCTGGGGAGGGACTCTTCATTAGGGACTGTAGTGATAGGACAAGGGGTAACGGGTTCAAACTTAAACAGGGCAAGTTTAGGTTGGATATAAGGCAGAAGTTCTTTACTGTTAGGGTGGTGAGGCACTGGAATGGGTTGTGCAGGGAAGTTGTGAATGCTCCATCCCTGGCAGTGTTCAAGGCCAGGTTGGACACAGGGGCTTGGGTGAGATGGTTTAGTGTGAGGTGTCCCTGCCCATGGCAGGGGAGGTTGGAACTGGGTGATCTTAAGGTCCTTTCCACCCCTAACTATTCTATGACTCTATGAATGGTGTGAGCTGATGGAGTTAATCTAAACCACAGCGCAGAGAGCCAGGTCTTCACTCACATAGGGTTTAAGAGCTAAAGGTCTGTGCAGTGGCTGTGTGTTATCATCAAGTGTAGCCCCAAACACTTGCACCAATGGGAATCATTCTGCTCTTCAAAGCTAAGCCTGAAATGCTATTTCTAGTTTGAGATCTCTGTAAGGGCACAACACGGACAGTGTAAAACAAGACAACAACTGCCTCGCTGGGCAACGTGCAAGGAAACAGCAAGCTGGGACACGACAGCAGCAGCCGTTACACTGATACCTCCTGTCCTGTTTCCCCAGGTCGGGAAGTGTCCTGCACCACTGGAATGAAATCTATCATTTTGTGGAGCATTTGGCCCGCAAGTTCATCAGGTAAGAAGTGGGGCCATGCCCTGTCATGGATAGCACCAGGGAACCCAGAGGAGCTCCTCATGCTTCCTCACTGACTGCGTTTTCCCTAGGTTCCTGTCACACAGAAATAAGAGCAGCTAAGCCAGTTGTTCCTGTTTTCCCTGCCTGACTTGCATGGATCAGATAATGGGGATGGAATCCTCTTGGGTGGCTACAACCTGAGTGCAGCAGCCTGGGTCTGCAGGGACAGGCATGAGGCTGTAGCTTTCGGGCACTGAATGACTTGAGGCTGGATGAAGAAACCCAGTGGGTGGGATGTGTTGTGATAAACACCATCACCTGCCTTTGTCTCCATGGTGACCCCGGGATGTGCTGAAGCTTTTCTTGCTTCAAGAAGCGCTATTTACATCTTCCTGATGGTTTGCCTTCACTAGGAAGGCCCAGGGCAAAGCATCTTTCACCCTGTTGAATGAATCTTGATAGCACTCAGAGCATCCTACGTGTTTGGTGTTAAGCTCTGGGCCTTCAAAATAACTCTCCTTTTCCTCTCCTTCTCCAGCCCTCAGCTGAGGATGTCCTTCATTGTGTTTTCAACGAGAGGGACCATTCTAATGAGGTTAACAGAAGACAGGTAAGAAGAGGTTTAAGGTGCACAGCAGTTTTTCTGTCCTTGTGGCTTCCTTCCCCTTCCTTGCTCAGTGATTTCCAGGGCTGTGAGCAGTGTTGGGACACCTTTGTGTCTCTCAGTTTCATTGTCTGAATCACCAGCCCACTTTCCCCTGACAGAAAACCCTAAGGTACATTCTAGACAGCCGTGTTCAGGTTACATTGCAAGGGTGTATAGTTTTGGCAGTGACAGTTTGAGTGCCGTATTCCTGAAGCATGTAGATCCCCAAGTTAATCCCAGTAAAACCTATGGGATGGGTTTTCTTTTTTCTCTGTCTTCAAGGAGAGCTGCATGAGCTCCTTTAATCACTTCTGCTTCCTCTGCTAACTTCATTGCCACGTGGAGCAAGAATATATGGAACACATGTGAAGACTCTCTAAGCCAGCATGTGTTTTACATATTGGATGTCTAGGAAATGGCATACCAGAGCAGCTGCTATAGAGGAATGAAGAAGGAGCTGGCAGCCTTCCTAAAGAGCAGTCCACATACATACCAGCCTTGAATATGTCATTAAAGCCAGGCAGCCCAAGCAGCTCCTGCCACTTACTGCAGCTCAAAGTGTAAAGAGAATGACCCTTCTCTAACTTGGTGCCAAAGGAAAACCAGTTCTCTGCTTCTTCCTCCTCAATGCAAGGGTCTCTGGTGTGTTCAGGCTGGAAGTGATGACACTGAAGTGTTTCCCATGTGGAAATGCATTTCATATTCATCCAGCTGCCCTAGAAATGCTGATGGGAACAGGATATTGGTATGGTATTAGTCTAAAAGCAATTGACTGGAACGCTGCTGGGTTTTACTGGGGAACTGACAAACAAGGTGTGGGCTTCGTGCTGGTCTTTTAGTTAACATGGGCCTTTCTGAAGCAGGAAGCTGGAGTAGTGGCAAGCAGCAGTAGTAGCATCCTAATGTGGAGATTGAGGGTGCTTAGCATCCCTTGGGAAAACCTCAGTGCATCTCATGGCATTGCAATGATGTATCTTAAAGATCTTTGCTGTGTGTTTTGAAGAAGAGTTCTGATGGCAAGATATGCTCTGGATTCTATATTCAGCTTTAGCTGGGTATGTGCATAGGTAGCTGAACAGAGGAAATATTGCCCCTACCCACCTTTAATACACAGCTTGGGATCTGGCCAGTTTGAGGTATCATGGGTACAGACTAGGTTCCTGATAACTTGATAACCCATTGCAACCAGATGCTCTTTCTCCTATGGGAGTTACTGCTCTATAGAGTGGATAATGTCAAGGAGCTGCTGCAGTCAGCCTCACAAACATGAGAGGGAGAATGTGAACACACAGATCGGATTTGCTGGGGTAGTTAAATTCAGGGACAAAACTGGCTTCTGGCATTCGGTGCTGCAGCATCTGTGGTCCTCCATTGCCCATGAAGCTTGTATAGTTTGCTCAGAGCCCTTTATCTTGGTATGAAAGATGTGTGGTGTGTTCTTGGCCTTAGAGTTTGATGACTGCAACTCAGTGGACCAGCAAATGGGTGCCCACCCATTTACCTGTCATTTTCCTGGCAGTCCTAAAGAAATGAAAGCATTCCCTGGATCATAAACAATTGGGAAAGGCTTTAATTCTTCAGCTTGGTCTGTGCAGGAGCTGAAGGTTTGATTCCAAATAAACCAGAGTTGGAGGCTGGTTTGGGATTGGTGGCATTTGTATAGTCAGGAAGTGTGAGGAAAGTGAGCCACGGGCAAGTCTTCTGCTCCAGAGGCTTGTCCAGGGTGACACAGGGAATACTAGAAAGAAATGCATGGAATCTGACCTTGGGGATGCTGTGGGAACGCTGGGAGCACCACTGCTGTTTCCCACCTCCTTAGGAAGGCATCTATTGAGACATCACCTTAGCTTGGATAAGCACTGAGCTGACTCCTTTTCCCCCCTGTCTGTATGCGGCTCTGCCATGCATGCCTCCTGTGCCTGGATCCCAGCTCCTGATGTGTGTGATCTGCCTTCATTCCAGGGAACAGATCCGCCAGGGGCTGGAAGAGCTGCAGAAAGTCCTCCCGGGAGGCGACACGTACATGCATGAAGGCTTTGAAAGGGTAACCAGATGCATGCCCAGTGCCTCTCAGCCGTGTCCGGGTGCTCCTTGGGATCTGGTTAATGGTTCTCTGGGAGGGGAGTGGGGCTGTTCCCCTTTCCTAGGTACAATAGGTACACTGAAGTGTTGGCATTCAGCATTGGAGCTGGCACAAGGGACCTGCAAACCCTGCTCCTTAGCTTCTCTTATTGCCTTCATCCTGTATGGGGAAGCTGCCTTTTCAGAAGGCTTTGGCATTGCAGTCCCTACAGAACCATGGTCAGGAGGAGTGGAAAGCTGTCTGGAGTCCTGCATGGGGCCTGTTAGTAGGCTTCATAGAGCTGGGTGAGGGCTAACACCATGGTTCTAACTTGGTGGCCAAGTAATGCTGCACAGAGGTGACTGCCTGTTCTTATCTTCTCCTTCAGAGTTATTTAACAAGCTCAGAGTTTCTTTAAACCTGAGCTCCTGGCCCCCATCTCCCACTCCTCTACATATGTGAGGATTGGGAACTGGCTGCCTATTGGAAATGCGTGTGAGGACACAACAGAAAGTCAACTGATCTGACAGAGATGCTGGCCCCTAAGCAGGGGTCCAAAACCCAACCCCAGAGCTTGGTGACTTCAGAAACTTTCCAGGAGGAGTCCAAAAAGAAACAAGAGATTTAAATTCTGAATAGTCATGAAATTCCTAAGCCAGGAATGCTCAGAGTGAGCCACTGTGATTTAAAACTGATGCACACTGAAGCCTTTGCCCTTCTATCATGCATAGACCAAATGTGCATAGACCAAATGACATATCATAGACAGTATCTCTCTGACGTTGGTTTACTTGCAATCATAGTTGAATCTAGAGCTGCTGGGGAATATTTGGACCTAGGATGCTTTCCAAGGAGGGAGGTGAATGGGATTTTCCCATAGCAGAATAGCAGGAGGCTGCATTATTGTTGGTCAATGGCCTTAGGGTTGGTTTGACTATAGGCAAGAAACTTGTTCTGCGAAGCAGCTACCTCTGAAAGCAGAGGCTATGTGCAGGCCTGGCATCCTCACTGCCATCTTCTCCTTCTTTCTGGTGCATGTGTGCCCACAAAGTATTACCATTCATTTATTGCTAATAATATTCTGATTTAATTTCAGGCAAGTGAACAGATTTACTATGAAAATGTTCATGGTGAGAGACTTTCTTGATACATTGATTATTATTTTTTCTCTTTCTGACTGATGAATACAGTTGAAATGCAGCTTTACTGTGGGAGAGGTGGGGGGTGGCTCCTGTTCCTACAGGAATATTGCTGTTTAATGTAGTTTGTTCCTGAAAAGGAACAGTTGGAGCTTTACGGATCCAGAGCTGGAATGAATGTGTGTCAGGCCAAAAGCAAGAAGCCAGCTAAGTGAAGGTACCTACTCTTACCCAGTATGGTACTTTATGTTGCTCTTTGTGCTTAAGGACTCAGGTAACCACTTCTTCTTCCTTCTGAAACATGAGTTTGGGGAGATGCTGGCAGGTAAAAGTGGTTTTGTTATGAGCAGTTATGAAACCCAGTATTAAGTGCAGACAACTGCAGAAAGGTTTGTTCTGTTCTTCCTTGCAATTAACATAGAAAGCCTCAACTAGAGCTATAAAGGTTTCTTCTTGGAAAGCAAAAGATAGGCAAGCAGATGGTTGAGTACAAAGCCAGTCCTAAGGGTTGTGCAGGGCCATTCAGGAATCAGACACAGTAGAGACTAAGTCCACAGAGCTTTGGGACTCACCTGACTGCAGCAGGATGGAATAGGTAGCTCAAACAATTCCATTTGGGGTTGATAATGCTTTTAAATGCTGATGTATATAGTACAAGTATATGCCATTCTATGCAAGGAGCAGTGGACAACTGGATCCTCAAGTCTGAATGCTGGCCTGTGTATTTGTCCTTGCTCCACTCTAAGAAGCGTTTCTATCACCTGCAGTGGGTCCAGAGGCTCCTGCAGTAGTCAGTGGATGGAGAAAGGCACCTCTGGAGGCCATAAGTTGGCACAAGAAGTGCTTGATTTCATCTGTTTCCTACAGATAGAGCCTGGCACTTGACCCTATGTGTTGCTCATTGCTTGTCAAGTGCTCAACTTCCCCGTTGCTTCAGTGCCACCTTGTTTATAATCGGTGATTTCTAAGTAGCACCAGGAAAAGTAGGGATGAGATCTCTGTTTCGCAGCTTCTTGTTGGGATGTTTTGTCTCTTGAGCAACAGCTTGTAAAGGCACAGGAAAACACAGAGATGGTTTCAGGGCTGTAAAGGTTGATGATTTACACACGTGGATGCATTCAGCCTTTACCTTTCCATGGCAGTGTTTGTGCAGAGTTACCTGCAGAGCTACCCCCGATCCATAGCAGGACCATTATCAGAAATGGGAACTGATTCTACTGTAAACTAACACACCTTGTAAACCCCAAGCTATAATCAATGCAGAAGGGAGGCTGCCAGGTTTTGCTGCTGAAATCAGTTACATAGGAGTGTTGAGGATTTTAGGCCGTTTTCCCACCATATCTGTCAAAATCCCAAGTGAGCTTTTTATCACAAGCTGAAAAAACATCACCTCTGGATTTACTGAATCAGGGAATGACTAGGAACACTTTGCACTGGGTTTTGATGGCTGCAGTCTACTGATCTGAAAAAGTGCAATAGTTATGAGGGTGTCAATTAAAACTCATTGGCACATCAAAAGAGGGTGGTATAAAACTGGTCCTGAAGGTAGGTGAGTGAAAGAGCATGCAGCAATTCATGGCTAGTAAGGGCATGGGCTTGGTGGCCGCTGTGTCTGGCGCTTTCAGCGCACTAGGAGGTCACTAGCAGGATGCTTTCTATGGTAGAATAACTAATACAACTCAAACCCAAGAAACTAAGGAAGTTTGTGTCTTTAGGTTACAGAACTGCAAGTGTCATCATTGCACTGACAGATGGAGAGCTCCATGAAGACCTGTTTTTCTACTCTGAGAGGGAGGTAAGTGTCTTACATGTTCTTAGCCAGAGAAATGTCTGGGCTTGCTGCTTGGAAGGCAAAAATGAAGGAAAACCTGTTCTCTAGTGCCAGAACTTCACCTTGGTGCTCCTTAGATGGGAATGTTGCATTTGGTTTGGAGAAGAGCAGTTAGGGAGCAGAACACAGATCCTGATCTTGGCTCTTACACTGGGAGTTGCTTCAGTTCTTTGGGTTTGAGCTGCTCGGTGTAAAGCTGGAATGATGCTTTTCTCACAGAGCACTTTGCTATTGAACAACTTGAACTACGACAGTGTTCTGATGTAATCTGGCTTGCTGCCATCGTTCCTGGGAATGGGATTTTGGTGTAGGTGCCCCTGTTCTAATGAAATGTGATTAAACAACTTCATACTCATGCAGGCAAGGGCATTTACAACAGTTGCTTTCTGAATGGTAAATGCACCTTCATCTGCCCAGCAGTGAAATAGCCTGGCTTGCTCTTTTAACCTTGTTTTTGCCAATACATGATGCAGACCTGTCAGAAACCCGCATCCATCCCGTTTGCATCCGCATCATCCTGCCTTTCCTTGTTTCAGGCTAACCGGTCGCGCGACCTGGGAGCAACGGTGTATTGCGTTGGTGTGAAAGACTTCAATGAGACCCAGGTAAATGATGCCTCCTGTTTCCTGAGGTCCCTGCAGAGCTAGGGAATGTGTTGAACACATTCAGTGCTCCTCAAGTGGTCTCTTGGTCTGGCTGTTGGGTGTAAGCCCCTTTCTCTCTATGTATCCCTATGGGGATGACTGTCCCTCTGTATGCCGCTGTGACTCTTCCTAACGGTGAGACAAGCAGAGGTAAAGGCAACCAGAGAGCAGCAAATCAGCCTGGCTGCAGCTGTAGGCAGGAGGAGATTGTGGGGACTGGTATTTCCCCATCAACTTGAGATGTTGCCGTAGAACACTTCAGTTTCAGTCCAGCTTTTCTTTCATGCTATATAAAGCAAATGGCTTTATTAGTGACATTAATACTTTAGTGGTTTCCTATTTGATAGCCTGACTTCTAAATTTACCATATGAATGTTGGTGTGTCCATGAATTGTGTTCACACCAAGGGTAACGGTTGGCATTGCTTTTCTAGCATGAGTGAGACACTTGTACAGCCCCTTAGTGCTGGAGTAGTTCTGGAATCGAGCTTTTCCAGGCTCACAGTGATTCAAGGATGAGTCAAACCAAATCTGGTTTAGAAACATCTCCTTTGAATCAAAACCAGAGTAAGCCATAGGAAAACAAAGAGGGAGTAAAAAGGGCAAAGAGACCAGATCTGAGGAGCAGACCTCACAGCCATTTCGGTGCTGAAGAAACCAACTGGAATTACATGGCACTGCCTGAACTGCCAGGATGCCCAAGAAGAAGGACTATGGGGAATGAGCTGAGGAGCCTGCAAACATCCTGCTTTACAGAAGCTGCTGTATCCCAGCCACAGCAATGCTGCTTTCCTGGAGCATTCCTCTGGATGCAAAACCAGGAGCTGGCACTCTGGTGCTTTGCTCGGGAAGGGGGAGTTGTGAGTGACAGGAGCTGGGAAGGTGGAGCCAGAGGGATTGATGGAGGAATGTGCGGCTGCATCCCCTTTGCAGCGCACAGGGAACGCCAGGAGCCTGCTGGGTTGCTGTATCCTCTGCCATGGGAGAGAATTACTATAACAAACCCTGGCCTGGCAGGACCAGACCTTGTTTCTGCTCCAGTAGATGCATGGAGAGCTCATCACTTCTCTTTCTGCTTAACCCTTAGCATGCTACTCACAAGTGAACCTGCATGTAGCTCCCCTCATCTTACCACCCCTTCCTTGTTGTGTAGGTTTCCAGATGCTCTTTTGCTACCTTCTTCCCTCCACTTGGCAAATACCTCCTGTTAGGTCCCTGCTCTCTTCTTCTTGGCTCTAATGGTTTCACCTTGACAAGCAGTCACATCTCTGTCCTGGCAGGAAAGGTGAACCAGGCCTCTATCCCCAGATAGGGTATGATTTGCATTAGTCTTCTCTTTGTGGGAAAACACTGAGCCGTTTTGCTCAGTTCCTTGGTTTAAATGATGTGTGCTGAAGGGTTTGCTGCAGTAGTGGCCTGTCAGGTTGATGCTGGGGCTGTTCTGGTTGGGGAGTTACTGTGCTGGCTGATGGCAATGAGGTGGGAGATGGGTTTTGCACTGAAGACCATTAGGCTCTGGGCATCGGTGAAACCCACTTTGTCTTCAAAGCTAAGAGAAGCCTTTTCTGATGCCTGCTACAGAGCTCTCTAAAATCAATCAGACTAAAGAGAAGCTTTCCAACGCCTGACAAAGCAATAACGCACCAGCACTGGTTCTTGGAGTATCTGGGGTTTTGCCTTGCAAGTGGCTGGGTCTGGAGAACTCTCACTTTGCTGCCTGCTGGCTCATTCACCTCATTCTTTGCATTTCTCTTTGATTCCCTTTCCCCCGTGCCAGCTGGCCAGAATTGCCGACAGCAGAGACCACGTCTTCCCAGTGAACGATGGCTTCGAAGCCCTTCAGGGCATCATAGACTCTGTAAGTATTTGGGCTCCTGTGTGTGCGTGTTAGTCTGGCTTGCACAGTTGAGGGTTTAGCTTTCCCGTGTTCACAAGGACCTGCTGACTGCTTATAAATCACTTACACATGCCAAAGAAACTCACCTTTGTCTGTACTAATATTGCTACTTCCAGGCTGAGTTTATCAGTAAGTCCCAATGAAGGGAGCTTTGAGCCCAAATGTTATCTTTGTGGGCAGTAACTGACTGAATGGGCTTAGGCACAAGGGGACAGACCATCAAATAGCTGCACAGCCTGGGACAGCAGGGATCTGTTAGAGCACCTTCTGTATGAAGGATGAGAGCACTCTTTGGTTTTCCTGCTCGGGCAGCATCTTTCTGTCTGATGGTTGTGCTGCATTGCTCATCTCTTGAGCAATGGGGAAGGGAAACTGCTGCATATGGCAAAATCCCCCAAACTCTGCTTTCTACGCTCAGCCTCCTGACAAATGGGCTATTAATGGCAGGGGGCTGGAATTAGATGAGCTTTAAGATCGCTTCCACCCAACCCATTCTAGGATTCCATGATTGCTGCAAAAATGAGAAGAACCAAAGTGATTTATGAAATGTTACTTTGCCATGAAAACTGTGTATGTGTAATGGGATAACCTGGGAGACCTTATGTGAGCATTTGATAGATGAAGTATAAGAAACGTGGGGATGCCTTTCTGTGCTCATCCTGAGCGAGCTGATCAAACTTGATCACCGTTCCCAGCACTGCCAAGGCCACCACTCACCCATGGCACTGAGGGGGTGTGAACACTTGCAGGGACCCTGCCCTGGGCAGCCTGTTCCAATGCCTGAGCACCCTCTGGGGCAGGAATTGTTCCTTAGCTCATCTAAACCCGCTTGAGGCCGGTTCCTCTTGTCCCATCCCTTGTTCCTTGGGAGTAGAGCCCAGCCCCTCCTGGCTCCATCCTCCTGTCAGGCAGTTGGGAAAGTCAAGGGGAAGGGATGTGGGGTCTGGGCACCTGAAGAGCAAGTCACCAACTCCAGCCTCTTCCCTTGGGTAGCTGCCTTACCCATCTCAAGCACAGGATGAACCCCCAGGCTTAACCCTATAGTGTTTCTCATTACTTCTAGCAGCTTATGATCATGCCTTCTACTTCTTCCTCTACCCCAAATGCATCTTTAAAAAGGACTTAAACAGATTTATCTTGCTGAGCTCATGCAGATATCATTGGGCAGGAAACACTTCATAAACAAGTCTTGTTTGTAACTAGTAAGAGCCATGGTTACGTAGTAATTAACCAGATGTGATAATGAGTACCCAGCCTCAGCCTGTGGGTCACTCACACTAACGGTGACAGAGCAGTGACCTTCTATTAAACTTCAGCATCCTGTTGGCTAATCAGAATTCCCAAATTTGGTGGAAAAAACCTTTATAAGAAACATGCATCTGCTCTGTGAGGTTATTGTCTGCATGCGTGTGGAGCAGAATTCCAGACGGGAGCTTCCAGCATCCAGGAGAGATGGGTTTGGGAATCTGAGCTCCTCACTAAGCATGCACTGCTATGGACAAGTGGGATGCTTCCTCACCATGAGTGAGCACGTGCTCCAGATGCCTTTCTGCCTGGGTGCCAAAGCAAGCTGCAGTTAGTTCCTGAGTGAATCAGAGCTGTTGTGGCTCTCCCTGTGGAAGTGAGGATATGGAGTGTGTTCTCCCTTGTGCCCTCTTGGAGCAGTGCTCCTGCATGTCATTTTCCTTTCCTAGGGAGCCAGGCTGCAGTGAATGGAGTGCATCTTTAGCCCACACAAGGCTGTGTAGCCCGTGGGAAACAGAAGAGAAATGATGAAATCCTCCTTGCTGAATGCACTGAAGTCCTTTTTGAATGTGTTTATGATGAGGAAGAGACATGAAGGAATCCTTGTGCAATAACCACTGTTGCCTGATTTTCACCTTAGGGTGGGTGCTCCAATGGTTGGAGCATTGGAAGCTTGTTCTAAAGCAAACTACATATTGCAGTGAGCACTGTAAAAAGTGTTCTTATAGTCATGGAAATGGATTGGGTTGGGCTGGAAGGGAGCTCTGCACCATCTGAGCCACCTGCTATTGAACCCTGTGTCCAAGCTGGCTTAGAGCACGAGTTTGTGCAAAGGGTTGAATACAGGCCATGAATTTCAAACTCAATCATGTCACATTTTGCTTGATTTTTTCAAAGAATGGATGTATTGATTGTATTTTTGTTCTCATTTGTCTGCTTCTCTTCCCTTTCTTTGTGACATAAAGGGGAAGAAATCATTATTAACACGTTTGTGGGTGCTGAGGGAGAGGGGAATGGAATCTAAGGGAGAACTGGGGGAAATGTGGAAAGCTTCTCTTCTTAAAGGAGATGTTTTTCAGTGGAGAGGAAAATTGCCTGGAAAAAGCTCAGCTCTTGGTTGTGCTCGTTAGTCCTGGCACTTTGGTTGAAAAATGATGGACTTTCAGAGGAGCAGAACCTGGAATGAGCAAGGGCAGGGGGTGGTAGAGGACTGACAGGAGATGGAGGGCTGGGTAACTATGGATGGGTACTTCGGAAGTGTTCTTACAGCCCTCGTTGTTCTCCTGCCTCTCAAATCCTTCTGGTGCTTTTCAGCTCTATTCTCAACTGTTGACTTTCTCTCTTTTTCCACTTGACAGTTCCTGTATAACCTTGCTCCTGCAAATCCTCCCTCCTCGCTTGTGAGGCTGCCAGCAGCTCCAGCAGCCCTGCTTCCTTCAGTCCCTTGGTACTCCTTCCATCTCTCCCCACCCTGCTTCTGAGTAAATCAAACTCTTGTTTAAAAGTAGAAAATAACTAAATCACGGCTCTGTCTGCACCGTCTGCAATCAGGTATTTGAGGCTGATTGATTCAAGAGCTGTGATTGCGGAGAAACCAGAGATTATCTTTTCCTCACAGAATGGATGCTGTTGGTTGCTGCTCTTTCCTTACAGATGTTTCAATTTAAAGTTGGGAAAATACTGTTTGGTATTGGATTTGAGTCATGATGCTTGGCTGACATTTACTTGCCTCTTGGAGCTGACCTAAATCTTGCTTAGCATTGCCTCTTCTGGGGGTGCTCAGCCCAGCACTGAACATCACAGCTCTTGGATGCTGCCCTCACAGGGGCTTATAGACACTGGCACCAGTTTGCTGACTGGGAACAGTGAAGAGCTGGACTTGGTGTTCAATGCAGGGGAAAGGCTGCTGCATGCAAACAGCTTGAGCCATTCTAGCACCATGTGGGAATAGTGAGTACCCAGCTCCAGAGTGCCTGCAAGCAGCATGCCAGGCCTGATGCTGAAGTACTTGTGTGAATCACTGTTGACATATGACATGGTTAAGGGCACTGCCAACCCTACCATGACATATTGCTCAATTTGAGTTTGGGTTAAGTAAAGAGCAATTGTCCATACACCTTGATTTGAAACCTTTGAGGGTGCTCTCATAGGTCAGGTTAACACCTGATGAAGTTGGAGCCCCTATACTGAGGTGTGGGAAGTGGCTATGCAGCTATTCCCACGATGTTTTAATGCAGACAGCTCAGCTTAAACTTGTGCTGTTTCATGTGGAGTTCTGGGCTCCAGAATCATTTAAGAGAAGGAGGTGTGACTGCAAAGGGAGGGCAATGGCACTGCCTCACTAACCCCTCAGTGTGCACTTGGGTTGCTGTGGATCATAGTCTGCAGAGTAGCTCGTACCACAGACAAACACCAATATGTACTGGGATCCTGGAGAGCATCCGCTGCCTTTCTCCATAGCAGGAACTTGCTGTGGAAGAGCAGTGACATGTGGCTGGTGGGTTAAAGTGTCACTAAGGTGGCATAATGGTGACACAAATGCAAAGTGCGATGTCGAGTTAAGCATTTGCATGAGAACAAGCGCTCACGCTTTGCTGTGTGCTTCTATAGAATGAGTCCAGGAGACTTCCTGACACGTTGCCTGTCTTTTAGATTCTGAAGAAATCCTGTATAGAAATCCTAGCAGCAGAACCTTCCAGCATATGTGCAGGGGGTAAGTATCAGCTGAGCCCTATTGCTCATGTTGCCTAAAACACACTTTGGGTCTATAGAATCATAGAATAGTTTGGGTTGGAAAGGACCTTAAGATCACCCAGTTCCAACCCCCCTGCCATGGGCAGGGACACCTCACACTAAACCATCTCACCCAAGGCTTTGTCCAACCTGGCCTTGGACACTGCCAGGGATGGGGCATTCACAACCTCCCTGGGCAACCCATTCCAGTGCCTCACCACCCTTACAGTAAAGAACTTCTTCCTTATATCCAATCTAAACTTCCCCTGTTTCAGTTTGAACCCGTTACCCCTTGTCCTATCACTACAGTCCCTAATGAAGAGTCCCTCCCCAGCATCCCTATAGGCCCCCTTCATACACTGGAAGCTGCTCTGAGGTCTCCATGCAGCTTCTCTTCTCCAGGCTGAACAGCCCCAACTTTCTCAGCCTGGCTCCATACAGGAGCTGCTCCAGCCCCTGAGCATCCTTGTGCCCTCCTCTGGACTTGTTCCAACAGTTCCATGTCCTTTTTACGTTGAGGACACCAGAACAGCACACAGTGCTCAAAGTATCTCCAATTGCTGGCGAGTGCAAAAGGAACCCATTAACTGGTGCTAAATCTGCTGCTTTTCTTGGTGAAAAGGCTTGAATTTGACAGTTTTGCTCAGTGTATTTCAGGCAAACCTGTCTGTGTCATTCAGACCGTGCTGCATCTGCTCGTTTCAGTCTCGAGCAGAGACAGGATCCCTGTGGTTAATCAGGCATCCCTGATACGCTGCTTTTCCACTGGCCTTGAGCTCATTCCCCAGCAGTTGAGGCTCCTGTGATTTCTCTTAGGCATTCATCAGCCCCCACACTCCAGAACAGAGCTTGTCTCCCCCGTCCTTCCCAACTGCTCTCACACAATGGGCCTGTGAGGCAGCAGCAGCTTCCTTGGCTGGGAGTGCTGGGATGATTTACAACTTGGCTGTAAAGGAGTGGGACCTGGAGGGGATCCCAGATTCCAGAGCGGAGCTGCTTTTCTTGACAAGTCCAGTGTGCGAGTCCTTCAGGGAGATGAAAGATGCTGGGGGCTGTGGAGTGCAAAGGGAAAGCTTTGAGTCTGCAGAAACTTGGTTCCTTCTTGCTCCTGGGAACCATCAAACCAAGGGCAGTGTTTGATGCGCTGTGGTTGCTCCTGCGTTGTCTTGGGAGGCAAACTGTGTGTTCAAAGCACAGCCACCAGCCAAACATCAGTGGGGATTATCTGAGTGCCTCTCCAAGATGGTAATTCCCACAGCAGGAATTGTGGGGGCTGCTTCCTTTGCTGGGTCCGAGTCCTCGTGTCCATGGCCAGAGCTTGTCTGGGTCTGTGGCCCTGCTTCAACATCTGAAAGTGATGCTTCCTTGCAAGGCAGTCGTAGTGCTGGTGGTGGCAGGAAGCTTGTAAAGCCTCCCCAGTGTTAGGTTCTAGGAGCTGGGATAACAAGGGATAGTAGAGCACTGTCAGACTTGTGAGGAGGTGATCTCATTGCTCAGTGATGCTTGTCCCAGAAAGGACCACATAGTTCAGTGCTCAGGTGTAGGGGACCATCCTTGATGCCTTCTGCATTAGACGTTGTGGAGTTGATATGGAGAAGCAGCAAAGACGAAGACTTGGGGAAATGCCCACACTCTGGTTTGTCCAGAGACCAGGAAGCTGATGGAATGAAATCCCCTGTAACTGCATGGAAATGAGTCCCATCAAGGTCATTGTACAGGCTCACAAGGCAGGATGTGGCCAAACTCATGGCAACTGCTACAAGACTGAGTTACCTAAAGCTGCCCTTGAACTCCTCCAGATGATCTGTCACTGGGAGGTTGTTTTCCTGTCTGTGGAAAGATACTTTTACCTTTCTTCACCCAAACCTTTCTACTGTTTAAAATGCCAACCTGGGGAGGGAGAAGCTCAGTGTCGCTGAAGCTCAATGTTTTCACTTCAATTCTCAGTTCAAATGAGAATGTTGTGTGTTACTGCCCATTGCTAAAGGTTGAATTTGGGCAGGGAGGGAGTGGAAGGTCCATTCTTTACTATGTTTAAACTTAAAACTTATAAAAGTGCATATTTCAGCTGAGGAGACCAAGTGAAAACTGGTGACGTAGACACCTTGTCTAGATGACCACTCTTGGCCTCACCATGGACCAATAACGCACTGTCTCTCTTGCTCCAGAGTCGTTCCAGGTGGTTGTGAGAGGAAACGGATTTCGACATGCCCGCAACGTTGACAGGGTGCTCTGCAGCTTCAGGATCAACGACACCCTGACCCTCAGTGAGTGCTTTGCATTTATGGTTTGTCTGATCCTGCGCTGGCAAAACACGCTGCATCTTCAAGTATGTTGGATGTGAAGGGAATAATCGTATGGGATGAGGAGCAACAGTGGTGGTGAGTGCTGTGACTGACAGCAAGGATGTGATTAGATGAGCTTGAGCAGTGGAGGGCACAGATAGAGATGCTCTTTACAGGCAAGTTTCTCATCTTCTCTGTGTGTCCTGTTGGGTTAAGTACGTAGTGAGATCAGGTCTGTTGGGCTGGAGCAGCTCTGCTCTGGAGCCAGGCTGAGAGAGCTGAACTGGGTCAACCTGGAGAAGAGAAGGCTCCTGAAGGGGAGACTTTAGAGCAGGTCCAGTGCCCAAAGGAAACCTGGAGAGGGGCTTTGGAATATAAGGAATATAGGGACAGGCCAAGGGGAATGGCTTTAACCTGCCCGAGGGGAGCTTGAGATGAGCTTTAAGGCTCCTTCCAACCCAAACCATTCCATGATTCAATGGTTACCTATATTTGATGGTATTCAGCAGGTCTGGTCATGCAGCTTAATTAAACACTGCTGCTGGAAGCTATAGTGGAGCAGTGGTTAAGGCACTGATGTGCTTCTGTGGAGGCAGCTTGGAAAGAAGTTTCCTCTACAGAGGAACCAGGAGAGGAACCAAAGTAAGAGAAGCAAATTAGACCCCGAGTGGTCCCTCTGTGAGGTGTATGAGATCCATTTAGCTGGAAGAGCTAACAACCCTATTGTTCTCATCTGGCACGTTTGCAAACCCACATAGGAAACACAGCTAATGCCACCATGACAGCAGAATTCATCTTGTCTAACACAGAACCTATTCTAAAGCTGCCTGATCACTTTGGAGGTGGTCCTGACTCTTCTGAGTATGAAATAGATGCATGAAGTAGTTAAAGCATGGAAGTCAAATGGTTCAATGTTGGGCTTGCTCATGCTTCGAGCATCTGTGTAACCTGCTCTTCGGAGCAGGCAGCAGTTTGCTAAGGCTGTTTGTCCTATGAGGAATGCCACCGAGCATTCAGGGCATGTATAGGACAGTGGGTGTGTGGGGTTGGTCCTGAATGGCTCTGTCACTGTTACAGTGGCCTCCTCTGCAGTAGTTTGGCTCTGGAATTGCCAATGGTGGTGTCCCTAAGCAGGAAGCCTGGCTGCCTGTGGCTTGTGTTTGCTCCATAAAATCAGACCCAAACCTGACACGTGGCCAGAACTCCTTCAGTCCGGATCATGGCCACATTGAGGTGTTGAACCAGGGTTCAGATCCAAAGTTCTGTTTGGATCACACGTGTTATAACGTCTCCCGTAGGAAACCTGCCCTCTTCTCTCCACCTGGAAGGAAGGTTCCAATGGGAAATTGCTATTTGGATATTTAGGAGTTGCTTTTTGTCCAAAGTCTGAAGCCACATGGAGCAAACTTTACTGCTCCTGCTTCCCAGATGGGACAACTGAAGGTAGCTGCTCCAAGTGAGCTGCCTGCAGACACTTCATTCATTTCTGCCTCTGTATCCACCCAATAATTGTCCTTACTATGGCCCCCTATGCACTGAGCCTGAATGGAAGATAAAAGTAGCTCCTCCTCCTGCTTTGTGAAGTAGGGAAGTGATGCCGATGTTTTCCTTTATTTCCCTCCTATGTAAACTCATTTCAACACTTGATTTCCTGATCCACTTTGTCCTCAAGAGAAGACTTCTTGCTCATTGTCACTGGTGTGAAAGGGTCCTCTGCTACCTGAGGCTGAAAGATGCTCCTGCATCCCAATTCCTTCTCAGCTCAGCTTCCTCTGAGCTGGCTGGCTCTGCAGCAAGCCGTTCATTCCTGGAAGCATCCAGAGTTAGGAATGTCATCCATCAGCCTTCCACTCCTCAGTCTACGGAGACACAAAAGCATCCAGTGCTGCCAATGGGAGGAGCTGTTTGCGAGGGTTACCTCACTCCCAAACACTGTGACCTGGTGGTGCTGAGGAGGAAGACTCTTTCCTTGCTTTGTGTGTGCTGCTGATGCTTGTCTGGCTGTGATTTATTCTGCTGTCTCTCCCCATCATTTCATAGTCGTTTTGGGGAAGGATCAGCTTCTTATAGTGCAACACATGGGTGCTTTTTAGTTGAAGCTGTCTTCCTGTATCCACAAAATGAGTGTGGAAAGCAAGGAGACGGGCCAAATGTTTCCTGCCCTCTGACCCGATGCATCTATTGTGTCCTGCACTGATGCATCAAAGTGAGATCATTCTCCTTGGCACTGATCCTTTTTGCTGAGCTCCAGGCTGTTCCCTATGCAGTGACCTGGAAGCAGGAGGCCACAAACTGAGTTTTGGAGTTCAAACCATTCCCTGGTTGAGGGAACTCAGCAAACCCAAGTCTCTCCGGGTGGGAACAGCTCTCTTAAGCTGCTGTATGTGAGAATATGTCCTTCCTTTACAGGAGCCTGCAGATCCATCCTGTGCTCTCTGTTTGCACTGGAGCTGCAAGCAGCTTACCCTAAGAGTTAACTGAAGGCGAGCTTAGTGGAAACCATGTGGGGATTGGCTTGCTCAGCTGGTTTTGTTTGCTTGGAACCTCTCAGCCGCTGATTGTATCAGGGAGGGGGTTCTTGTTAAAGATAACACTGAGCCAGCAGATCCTTCAGTTATCCCAGATGAGATGTCAACCAGCACAGCAAGGACTTGCTGAGGTCAAGGGCATGAGCTAATAGGGTTTTATTGGGGTTATTGGCAGGGAGAAGTGGCAGGTGAAGAAGAGAGCATCACTCATAACGCTATGGGGTAAAACATCTGTAGAAGCCATGAAGAACACTTGGCTGAGCAGAGCTGTAACCAGATGCATGTTCAAGAGCAGTGTGTTTCTGCCAGCACAGGACCTGGGAGGATTGCTTTCAGGCTGCACAGAGTTAAAAGTAATTACCCAGGGCAGTGACTTACGACTGCTCTGTGGTGCTCAAATGGCTTTGTCTGCTCAGGCTGTGCAGGAGCCAGCAGGGATACTTCTGGGCATGGAGACGGGCTCTGCCCTGTGCTAAAGCCAAAGGGTTGGTGGGAAAGCAGCTCCACCGCAGAGATGGGGTTAGAGCTTTGTGCTCCAGGGAATGCTTTGGACACTCAGCCCAATCTGAGCCTCTGCACAAAGTTGCCTGACTTTCTTTTGTCAGCATTGGGTACCAGGAGTGAGGGGGAAATAGGGCAAAGACAGTGGGAGTGGGACTCCCAAAACAGCATCCCAAAACTGACCCGCAAATGCCTTGTGTTTTCAAAGCCGTGCTCCGTTCTCCCTGCCTTTTTCCTGGCAGCACAGCACTTTCCTGGTGATACCTTTTTCACTGTCTCACAGCCTGCTCGCTCTTAGCACAGGAATGGTTTACTTTGCAGTTCTACTCTTCAATCCCCCATTGATTGCATCACTTTAACCCTCCCCTCAATCTTTTACTTTCTTATAGTAGCTTTGCCCTCTTTCCCCTATGGTACTAGAGGACGTCCATCACTGCATGCAAACCCCATCAGATGATCTGGGGAGGAGTGTGGCCTTTATGAAGGACACAATGAATGCTTCTATTTCTCCTAGGTGAAAACATACACCAAGGTGAGCTTGGCATCATGTTTTGAAGGGTGGCCCAAGTCATTTCTTGACAGAATATGGCCACAGAAGAAACAGTCGTGCTTCCCTCAGATGCTCTCCTGACCATCAAGAATTGCAGGTTAAAGAGCTTTTAAAGCAGGATTCCTATTGAACCCGCCAGAGAAAGAGAACCCTTCCAGATCCCTCCTCTCCATCCGGAGATTGTTATGAACGCGATGTCATTGCTATGTGCAGATCTGCTCTTCCCCCCATCCCCTAACTCTGCTCTCAATGGCTTTGGCATTCAAAGCTCATGTGTCCCTACACAAAGCAGAGCAATTACAACATGATCTCAGTGTGGTTTTCATTACAGCATTAACAAAACATCTCTTCTTTACGGGTCGGTCTTGCAGTTGCTTTAGCACAGAGAGCGATCCAGTGTCTTCCTACATTCCTATCTCCTCACAAAATGGTCTGAAATGAAAACTTTGCTTGCAGAGCTGTCATAGGGAGTGGCGAGGATGAACAGAGATTGGGCTTTGGTGGCTGGTGCCGAGGACTATAGAGGTATATTTTGCCTCATCTTGGGTGACAGAAGCATTCAGGCTCTATGATTTGATGATTCTGAGTGTGTGCTGATCTGATGGAGCAGTCCTCTCTCCTGCAGAAGACATCCCCAAAGCGTTGACTGAGATATACTTTAGTTGAATTGAAATCCTAAAGAGAGGGATAACAGAAGGAAGTTTTTAGCCTGAGAGATGGGAAGTTTGGCAAACGGCTTTTGCATCCTCTTCTGGACTAAACTATTGCTGATATGGTGAGTCCAACAATCAGCATTGTGAGAAGACTGTGTACCCCTGTAAGGATCTTTAAAGTCAGTTCTCCATGTGCCACTTGGTTCTGGGGTGGACCAGTAACCATAGAAAAGGCTGTTAAATAGCTTGGTTATATGGCTAAAAGGAAAGCCTGCTGTCCTGGTCACCTTCTTTGGGGTCTTGTACTGCTCCTTCACTGGGGTTTGTTCTTCTGTGTTAAAACTTAATGCATATATTGAGGCTTTTATTATTATGGTTGGGAAGTACTCCAAGTGCTGGCTTGCCAAAAGGTTACACCCTGCTAATGGCGAAAGAAACTATTCCCTGATGCTGGAATAATAGATTTTGCAGGCTGCAGATAGTTGTTAAAGGTGCAGGAATGCTGGGTAGTGAGTTACAGGAATGTGAGCGGGAGCAAGGACCTTGTTGAAAGGGGACCCACAGAAAACAGATGGATTTTTGTGTGGTTTTTTTCTGTTTCTTCTCTATATCCAACCTGAACTCCCCCTGTTTCAGTCTGAACCCATCACCCCTTGTCCTATTCCTACAGTCCCTGATGAAGAGCCCCTCTCCAGCATCCTTGTAGCCCCCTTCAGACACTGGAAGCTGCTCTGAGGTCTCCACGCAGCTTCTCTTCTCCAGCCCCAATGTTCTCAGCCTGGCTCCATTCAGGAGCTGCTCCAGCCCCTGAGCATCCTCGTGGCCTCCTCCGGACTTGCTCTAGCAGCTCCATGTCCTCATGTTGGAACTGTACACAGTGCTGCAAGTGGGGTCTCATGAGATCAGGATCATCTCCTTTGACACGCTGCCCTCACTCCCAGTATATGGGCTGCATCAAGCAAGTAAGATGCCCAAGCTCTGGCCATGACTGGCGTCTGAGCTGTGCTCCAGGCCTGGGCATCCTGTCTATAGCATTGCCAATGGATATAGACATACACAGTGGGATTTCTTCCCAGTTACCCAGCAGGGATCACTTCCTGGGCAGCAGAGGCATGGAGTGGAGCACTCCCCTCCCAGCCTTCCATAGCTCTTCCACTCATGTTGTCAGCTGAGCAGAAGCCAAGCCACAAAACTCCCATTCTGGCCGGGGATCTGGAGTTTGGGAGCATTCAGACCCATCTCTTCCTGCACCAGACTGCAGTGAGCTCCTTCCACAGCAAAGAGAAGCAGCGTTTCACTAGTGCATCCTGCAGATACGGATGTCGGGGCACATGAGGAGTGTTGTTTCGTTTGGGTTCCCCATGTAAGTTTTCCAGGAAGGAGTCAGACAGCGGGAGTTGTGCAAACCAAATGGATCCTCTTTTGTTTAGAGCAAGGGAAAAGGATCTCTCATTTTTGTGGTGAAACACAAACATTCTCCAAGCAAAATCGTCTCTCCCTGTAGCCAGCCATGAGCTCCCTCCTGGGACCTGGCTCTGATAGACTGGGTAGAGAGGCACAACTTCCATGTAAATTGGGGCTGGGAATAGAAGGAAAGAGAAACAAAAAGCTCATGGCATCGAAGCAGACGGCCTGGTGAAACCAAACCAACTTTGTTTCAGTGAATGCTGGCACGGAGAATTCCGTGGCCTTTGCTGCCAGTGTCAGTGAAGGAGAAAACAAGACATCGGTCTTCATTCTCTTGGCATGTGTGTGCTGAGACAGTGCCATAAATTGAGGGGACTTAATGATACCTTCATAAATCAGGGTGAGAAGAGATCCAGGGCCAGACTCACCACCACTGTGCTTCTCTTGCTTGTGCAAGGTGGGGAAAGCTGCTGGTTTGGTTGGGTAACTCCATTGCAAAACGGAGTGTATGGGATGCAAGCTCAGCATCAATCCGGTGCCTGTGCTGCTGGCTGTGGGAAGTGAGGGATGTGCATCGTATCCCTCCGTTGTGTGCTTTAAATGCCTCTTGTCTGTCTGCCTCTCTATTAATGAGGAAGTAATCTAGATAACATGGGGTTGGCAAAGGAATACCCTGTGCTGAATACATCTGCTCACAGCGTTTAATGGAAATGACTGTGTGTATTCTTACCATAGAGCTGAGTTGGAAGGGACCTTAAAGCTCATTCAGTCCCAACCCCTGCCATGGGCAGGGACCCCTTCCACTGGAGCAGCTTGCTCCAAGCCCCTGTGTCCAACCTGGCCTTGAGCACTGCCAGGGATGGGGCAGCCACAGCTTCTCTGGGCACCCTGTGCCAGCGCCTCAGCATCCTCACAGGGAAGAGCTTCTGCCTTTACCCCTTACACAGTGCTTGATCCTATTTATGCATTAAGTAAGGGAAAACATTAATTAAGCTTGGTCTTGAAGGCCTGTATTGGTGATCTGATAATAAATCCCAGTATCTCTATTTTCCAGATGAGAAGCCTTTTGTAGTGGAAGATACCTACTTACTGTGCCCAGCGCCTGTGCTGCGAGAAGTTGGCATGTATGTGTTTCACTTTCCAGTGGGAGAATGAGTCTCTGCCACCTCACTTTAACCTGTTCCTGACTTATTCCTCGTGTTTTGGCTGTTTTTCAGGGAAGCAGCTCTCCAAGTCAGCATGAACGATGGTCTGAGCTTCATCTCCAGCTCCGTCATCATCTCCAGCACACACTGTGTAAGGTTTGATTCATGCGCCTATAGTGATTCAGTAGGATGGTGGGACTAAGCAGCAGGTATTTTACACTGGTGTTGGGTATTGTGGGAGCCTGGTGTGCAAAGGAGCTGTTTCTCTCTTTGAAAGGTGTGCTTGTGAGTGTGCTGATATGAGGTCTTGTGTAGCATGTGTGCCATAGCGTGGCAAAGCTCTTGAGTCTTCAGAACACACCATGGACTTGATGCTGTAGGATGCAGACCAGAACAGGACCAGCAGCCATTGGTCTGGAGGTGTCTGTATCTGCACAAGAAGCATGTCTGCAGGCTTTGTTAGCTAGTCTGGCTCCTCTACAGCAATATGATGCTGCTGTGGAAGGTGTGTGGCTGTTGTAATCACAGCCTTTGTCTGGACACCAGTGTGGACCTAAAGATGGTGAGGTTCTGCACTGCAGTAGCTGGTTTATGGCTGGTAGCAGGGAATTGCTGCATTCAGTCTCCGGTGCAACCAGGAAGAGGATGATGAAACCATTTCTAACTCGTGGTATTGCTGAAGATGCTGCTTATTTTAAGTCATGTCTATTAGGAATAAAGCAGCAAATGACTTGTGCTGAAGGAGGAATTCACTTTGAGTTCAGAGCAGTCCTTTGTGCTTCAGTGTATTCAGCTTTATCCATCTATGAGCAGACTGGTCTGTTCTGGGAATGGTTGGGATGCTGCTTTACTTCTTCTGTGTGCTTTTGGGAAGCCAGAGTAGTCTCACCAGCAAATCTGTCCATGGGCTGCTCTACTCCCTGCCCAGCAAAGGCACACTGTGCTTTATACAGAGCAAGTGAAAGGCTGTGTTGTGATACATGGGTTACCAGCAGCCTGCTGTGCTCTACAATGGCTTATGCACAAGAGGAGAAAAGTCTTTTGTGTCCCTTGATCTTGCTGCTTGCTCAGCAAGGACCAGACTGTGTGGAAACAGAGCTTACAGGAGGGGTTATATTCCAAACCATACAACGACTTCCTTATGCCTTTAAAGGAGGGAATTAGTTCTATTAGTTAATCTTTTGGTTCGAGTTCTCTTTGCTCACTGGCATTTGGGTGTTGTCAGCAAATTACAGGCATATTTTGCTGTGTTTTGCTCATATGAAGCAAGACCTGGGGTAAAGTTCTTAGAGACAAGTTATTCCTTCCTGGTAGGCTTCCTGCTGGGGATGGAATGATTATTTCTAGGTTATAGGAGGTAAAATATCCATTCCTTTGCTATTGTTTTAATTGCTGTTAAGGAACCTTCCTTTGCCTGTGCTTCATGGCAGTGCCTACTCCTCTGATGCCTCCAGCCTATGAAACTGGATTTGCAGTGCAGCTGAGCAGCCAGAGTTCAAATCCAGGTCCTACATCCAACCATAGATGCAGCAGCATTCACTGGCTGCTTGGAAAACTACAGCACAGGCTCCACTACCGATGCTGTTTCTCCTGGGTGCATTAAGTGAATATCTGTCAGCTCTGAACTAGACCTCACTGCTTGGGCACTGGATGGGGTTTTGGGGTTCTGCTTTGTTTCAAGGAGTCCTACATAAGCTAAAACAGTTTTGGAGCTCTAAAATCCGGGCCCTTTGGAATCCACTCGCCTGCACTGTGGGTGTCTGCTGTGCTTTGAGGGGCTCCTGGTTTTCCCTGGCTTTCTGCTTCCTGAAATGTGGGAAGCTTCAGGGATTGCAGCCCCCCAGCAGTGCAAGGACTGCCAGAAGTTAACCTACACGGGTTCTGCTGTGGTCTGCCTCTGCTCAACTGCTCGTGCTTTCCGGGATCTGAGTACAAGCATGACTGTGTGTGCCTTACTGTGTTCTTCCTATGGGACTCAAGGAATTGCTGCCTTGGGTTCCCAAAATAACATTGCTGGAAGGGCTTAGCTGCTGCTCTCTAAGCAAGCCTCCAGGCTTTCCTGTCCCCGCTGCAGTTCCCTCCCTCTGCTGAAAGGGAATGGACCTTTTTCACCCAACAAAAGAAAGGAGGAGCAGGAGAGGCTCAGAAAGATCCCTTTATTGCAGAGGACCTCTCAGTATTTCCACCTTCAAGTCCATTTGCAGCCACGTAACGGTGACCCCAGCTGGATCAGATGGAGTGACATCTCCATTTAAAGAATCCAAATTCAGTCCCTGTCAAGGCCAAGTATGAAACAGTCCATAGGAGGCCTCTGGGGGGTTGGTTTTGTTGCTCTTCTGCAGCTTTTTCAATGGGAGTTTTAGAGGCAGGGGAATTGGTTACACACAAGGGGCCCTTTGAAATCCCTTGGGATGAGGACCACAGCCGTGCAACTCCCCATGCAGGCTCTGTCTGGTGCATTAAGAAGCATCATCAGAGTAAAGCTCGACTCCCTGATCTCATGCAGGGGTGAAGGTGAGGTTAAAGGTGGAGTTGAGTTGTCTGGCAATGGGAAAAAGCATTGATTGTGGAATCGCATGGAATGGGCAGCCTTTGCCTCCAAGAAGGGTGAAAGCAAGCAAGCAAGACAGAACCAGGTCAGTAAAGGAGATGCATCGGGCAGAGCATTGGTTTTATGGGATGCTGGAACGCAGATGAAGCTCTAGCTCAGCGTAGGGTGATACTCCATGTAAACATCCAGCTCACTTGTACCCTCCCTATGCATGGCCAGTATGATTTGTCCCTCGAAGGCTTTGCTGACTGCATAGGCCAGACTGGGGATTAGTGAGTGGCTTCTGGTAAAGCTGCTGTGACTGTAAATCAGGGGCTGCAGACAGCACTTTAATCCTGCTCCCCACTAACTTACATGTTACCCAGTTAAACGAAGATAGGGCTGTCCTGAGTGTAATTTAGGGTGTTGTTTGGCCTGGGCTATGTGACCACTGGCAGCAACCCCAACAGAGCAGGGGAATGGCTGGAATGAGTGTTGTTAAGGTTTGGAGACAGCCTGCTGTTTATATAAGGGGGATCAGATGCCAGCATCTCCACTACGACAAAGCTCAGCTGGCTGGATGTGATGACTTTGTCTCTTGGCTTCCTTGTCTTGTGGTTTAATCCCACACAACCACTCACTGTAGCGATAGGACAAAGGGTGATGGGTTTAAACTGAAACAGGGGAAGTGCAGGCTGGAGCAAGGAAGAAACTCTTCCCTGTGAGGGTGGTGAGGCACTGGAATGGGTTGCCTAAGGAGGTGGTAAATGCTGCATCCTTGGCAGTGTTAAGGCCAGGTTGGACAGAGCGTTGAGTGTCAGGGTCTAGCATGAGGCATCCATGCCCATGGCAAGGGGCTGGACCTGGATGATCTTATGGTCCTTTCTAACCCAAAGCAGTCTGGGATTCTATGGGGGAGAGAATCTGAAGGGTGAAAGTGAGAAAATTCATGGGTGGAGATAAAGAGAGTTTAACAGGTAAAGCAAAAGATGCACACAAGCAAAGCAAGGAGTTAATCCACCAATTCCATGGTCAGAATACAATATCATCATTATTATTAATGACAGGTTCAAAAGGTAGTTTCATCCCACTGCTGAAGTTGGGACTTTTGATAGCTGAAGGCACCAAGAACTAGAGCTCACTCTCGCTAAACATAACCCCTCCTCTTGTTGTAACAGCAATAATATAAGGCCCAGGGCCAGAAGTGCGATGGGCACTGAGCAGCCTCAGCTTCCACTAGTGCTAAGTGCAACTAATTCTTCCTCACCTATTAGTCTCAGCATAGCACCAATTTGGTGTGTAAAGTTACCCCACATCAGCCTTTAGTGCTCTGAGCCCCGTGTGCATTGCTGTTGCCCACACCAGCTAATGCCTGCAGAGCGTGTGCTGCACTGGTGACTGCTTGAAGTAGCAGCAAGTGATGGCTGGTGGAACTGGGAAGCCCTTAACAAGGGGGTTACTCCTGTTCCCATGGTGGGAGTTCAAAGAACTAAAAGAGGGCAGAAGTAAATCAATGCTGGGTATGGATTTGCCCACCTGCAGATGTGCCCGGAGCAGGTTTCGCACCAAGTGTGCTCAGGAAAAGGGATGTCCCATAGAGGACACATGAAGGCAGCATGTGGAGGCAGGAAGCGAGTCCCACTCTGCTGCTGCCAAGTTCTGCAGTGCAAAAAGAGCATCTCGGACAGGAGCCAGGATGAGAACTAAAATAAGGCTTTGTTCATCCTCTCAGCTGGCCCCAGAAGAGGAAAACCCACTGCTGACCTTTGGCACTGGTAGCTCCCAGCCTCAGAACTGGGAGGGAGGTGAAACTGCACTGCTGCAGTGACAGCAGAGAACAGGTCCTCCTGGGCAGCTCCCAATGGGAGTAGAAGGGGGTATCACTCAGTGATGTTCCTGTGCTCCCTGTATCACTGAGTGAGAAACACACGGTGCTTCTCCTCAAGGAGGAGAGATGATGGAGGTACCCACGTGTGGGCTGCGGGAAGGTTTCTGTGGCAGGGTATTAGACCTGCTTTGCACTAGCATTGATTGAAACTCATCTTTATTTGCCATGTGTGTCCTGTTCATAATGGATGTCTTCCTAGGTCATGCCATGTTCCTTCAGGAGGAGGGCTCGGGGAATGGTGCTTGTAAAAAGGAGCATCTTCCAGCTGAAATGGGGAAGTTCTTCCCTGTGGGGGTGCTGAGGCCCTGGCACAGGGTGCCCAGAGAAGCTGTGGCTGCCCCAAGGCCAACAAAAGTTGTTTTCTTGGGCTGAATTGAGCCTGTTCTCAGTGTCGAGCACAGCTCCCTGCATTATTCCATGGGTCAGTGTTTCCATGGACATTGCTATTCCAAATTTTGATTAAAAGGAAAAGAAAGGAATGAAAACAGACGTTCAGCCCTTCTTCAGCAGCTGTAACACTAGGAGGAAGATTTCAACATGTCAGGGGAACCTCTGCAAGCTATTTGGGCAGGGGCTTTTCCTTGTTTCTTATTCAGTTTGGTTGAGTGGCAGTTTCCAGCTAAGCATAGTTCTAGCTGTATAAAATTATAGATGGTACACAGGATAATAGCTAAATTCTAGCAGAAGATGATCAAATAAAGGTAAAACAACCCAAAAGCAGAGTTTAGGCCACTTTGGGTTATTAAGTGCGAGGCTGCACCTCAAACCCTGTGCTCAGCTCTGGGCCCCTCACTACAAGATAGACATTGAGGTGATAGAGCTGGGCCAGAGAAGGCAATGGAGCTGGTGTAGGGCCTGGAGCACAAGGGTGATGGGGAACAGCTGAGGGACCTGGGGGATTCAATCTGGAGAAGAGAAGGCTCAGGGGGGACCTGATCGCTCCCTACAATTCCCCAGTTAAAGGTCATGGTTTGCTGCTTTGAAGCTATGGCTGATCCCAGCAGATGCAGTTTGGGTTTGTCTGAAACAGTTTGATGATTGTTCAAATATGAGAGAAGGAATGAATCCACCTAGAATTATCTGGAGGATGGTGAGAGTTTGCTTTGCGAAGATATTCAGCTGTTTGCTGAAGCATTGAATCTCAGCAGGTTCCGCTTTGCAGGTGATGGATGCGAGTTCATGTTGTCTGTCTGGAGGAACTGCATCCCACATACAGCTCTGTGTTCTCAATGAGCTCTTATTTCACGCTGGGGTCCATGTTCCATTGCCAGAGATGTCCTGGGTCAATTCTTCTCCTGTGTGTACTACATCTGTTGTTTCCAAGTGTCAAAGACCACGCTATCTTGATCCAAGTCTCCAGGAATTCCTTCTACAGCAGAAAAGAGTTTGGAAGATGCTCTCAACCAGATTGGGGTTTTTCCATTACAATTCACACTATGGCATGATGGGAGAGCATCTGGCCACCAAGTTGCAGTGACTTGGAACTAGATGATCATAAGGTCCTTTCAAGCCTAGCCATTCTGTGATACTATGATTCATGCAGGCACCCAGTTTTCCCATCCTCCAGGTCAGTCTGCCCTTGAATGTCCTTTATCTGGCACATTGGGATCTTGACACTTGGGTGGGGGTTTTATATATCTGCCTCTTACATCAACCCATCTCCAACAGGCTTAAGTCAGGACTGTCTGCTTGCTTAGCTTGGAGGAGGATGAGGTTGGGTAGAAGTAGCACAGGGAAGTTGGCATGTGAACCAAGAACATCTGGTTTGGGTGAAGAAATAACCCACACTGGGGTTTGATTGCTGCATGGAGCTGGCTTGTGCAGCAGTTTGTGGTGTTAACTGGTGTCAGAGAGCTGCAAATGCCTTTTTAAATGGGGAAGCATCCCACTTAGAGAGGAAATGATCTTCTAGAGTTAATGGCTTGTGATGTGAAAACCCCTGTGTCTTGTGTGATGGGGTGTGCATTCAGTCCCCTTGAAAGGCTCATAGAATCACAGAATGGTTTGGGTTGGTAAGGACCTTAAGATCACCCAGTTCCAACACCCTGCTGTGGGCATGGACACCTCACACTAAACCATGGCACCCAAGGCTCTGTCCAACCTGGCCTTGAACACTGCCAGGGATGGAGCATTCACAACCTCCCTGGGCAACCCATTCCAGTGCCTCAGCACCCTTACAGGAAAGAATTTCCTCCTTATATCCAATCTAAACTTGCCCTGTTTAAGTTTGAACCCATCACCCCTTTTCCTATCACTGCAGTTCCTGATGAAGAGTCCCTCCCCAGCATCCCTATAGGCCCCCTTCAGATACTGGAAGCTGCTCTGAGTTCTCCACGCAGCTTCTCTTCTCCAGGCTGAACAGCCCCAACTTTCTCAGCCTATCTTCATACGGGAGCTGCTCCAGCCCCTGATCATCCTCATGGCCTCCTCCGGACTTGTTCCAACAGTTCCATGTCCTTTTTATATTGAGGACACCAGAACTGCACACAGTACTTCAAGTGAGGTCTCATGAGAGCAGAGTAGAGGGGCAGGATCACCTCCCTTGACCTGCTGGTCACGCTCCTTTCCATGGCAGAGCTGCCCTGACTCAGCACTGCTCAGAGGAGCAGGATGACCTGAGCCGTGGACACATGGACAGCCCACGTCATGCTCTCTGTTGGGAGTGAATTCTAGCACTGCTTTTAGTTTGTACTGCAAGAGGGGAACAGGGTTACAGAGAAAGGAGAATGCTTTAACTGCAATGAAACACTGTGGTGTGAGCTCTCTTATCAATCTGTTCCTTTCACTCTTCACAATACTCTGAGGAGCTGCAGTAATCTTGACCTGAAGTGTGAGGATCAGAAGATCAAGACTAAACCTGTAACTCTGGGCAGTGAACTTGAGCTCTCAGCCTCTTTGCTATGGGGATTGGGTGCCACATTGGATGCCTGAGGAAGGAGGAAAACTGCATTTGGTCTGAAGGATAAATGGAGTATGGCAGTGGCCTCTGGACACGTGCTTGCCTGGAAGTGGGATGCATGGGATGCATGGAGTGTTAGTGCTGCTCACACGCTCTCTGTGTTTCTCTTCCAGTCAGATGGGACCATCCTGGCTATTGCTTTGTTGATCCTCTTCCTCCTGCTGGCCTTGGCTCTTCTCTGGTGGTTCTGGCCTCTTTGCTGCACCGTGGTAAGTGACAGGAACCCTTAGCACAAACCAGCAATTCAGTGATGCCTGAGTGTAAGAAACGAGTGGGAAGGAGGCAAAGCTTTCCAGTAAGGAACAGCGCAGGACTGGTCACTGAACAAGGCAGTGTTTCTTCCATTGCTGGCACTGATTGTGCTTCTATTTCATTTGCCTGACCTTTGAATTGTACCCATAAAACAGCGCTGTTGCTGACATACAGACCTTGTTGGGAGCCTTTTAGTCTTATTATTGGTTGTGGAAGAGATGACACAGTGAAGCTCTGCTCTTGCTTTGGGTCATGTTTGTGCTGCAAATACAGAACAAGAACCAGGGATGCACAAATGGCAGCAGAACTGGAGCCTGGTTTTTGGTGACTGGCTCTGTGTAATGTTCCAGATGCCTCTTTTAAAGCTGCCCAAACCAGCTCCAGTGTGTGGGTCACTGCCATTAATCCTGGTTTTAGGTGACTTACCCAGTGCTGTAAATATGCACCATGTTGTACCAAAGCTACGATCCATTGCCGAGAGCTCTGAAGCCACAAACTGCAGGAGCAGTTACACTGGAGGATGAGCTTCTGTGTTGGGATGTTCTCTATCCAGAAATAGGATGGAAAGCTCCATAAAAAATGGGAATTTTTTATTGACAACAATAAAAAACTGGGTTCTAAAAATGGGCCAAGGCTCAGCAGTGTGGGAGGTGGCTCAGAGCCATTGGTCTCAACTAAGTGGCATCATCCCAGAGAGCTGGGCCAAGGTCTTTGTTGGCACATCTGCATAGGAGGCAATGGAGATGTGCCCTGTACAGATGCTTACAGTGGAGAACTAAGGTGGCAGAGAGGAAAGGCTCGAGGTGATGGTGCTCTTTGAAGGTTCTGTTGCAGGAGGAGATGAAGCTGATAAGAAAAAGACCCAAAGAAAAGCATCAGGAGCAAAGGGAGTACAGAGCTGTGCCTAGGGAGGGTACTGTGGGTCAGCTGCATATAAAGTGATATAAAGATAGTCAGGGAACAGTGTTCTTCAAGTGTGAGAAACACAGATAAGCAAAGTGAGTGCAGCAGAGATAGGGAGTCTCTTGTCCACATGAATCCTTATGAGCTTAATGTCTTCCAGATTTAAATGCTGTACTCAGAAACCCTGTTGTAGATAAAAGCTTTTCCTCACCCTTTCCCCTCCTTTACCTCCCACATTCCCTCTTTGTAAGGTCTTCAAGTGGGGGCCATCTCACTGATAGGTTCCAAATGTGAGTCCAACACATGCTGGAAGGGTTTTAATTCAAGAGCCTCTAGGAAGCCTCTTCCATCTCTCTGGGATGGCAGTCTGGGATGTTTGGCAGCAGATCAGCATCTAAAACACCCCCTGTTGTGTTGCTTACCCAAAGAGCAAAAACCAAAGGCATCCACAGAGGAGTACCCAGCCTGTTTGGCTTAGGGCAGGGAGAAGGAGAGCAGAGCAGTGCTAATTTGCTGCTTTGGGAATGGCCCATTAAGGAATGCGGTGTTGTCAAAGCACAGAGTGAATTAGGGGCAGAGGAACTGGCTTGCACAACAGACAGAGAGAGGCAGGCAAGGAATAACCTCCAGTAATCAAACTGCAGCCCCAGAGACACTGTGGGGATTGAAGCCCAGAGATGCTTCAGAGATAAATGTGTGCAGGGGGAAAGCAAGAAAACCCAACAAGCTCTTTCCTTACCGAGTATAAAGCTGTTCTGAGTGACAAGCACGTTTCTAAACCCTGCAGTTCCTCTTGGCATGCTTTTCCATTAAATGGGAATCATTATCATCCAACACTTCTTCAGGAAAGACACCAAGCCAGCTCCGTCCCTGGAGTAAATGGACTGAAGTCAATAGACTTACTCTGGAGATTCAGCTGGAACCCAGTTTCTCCTTGGCACGCATCCATAAAGGAATGCTGTTTCCAAATGTATCCAAGTTTATTGGCCTCAGAAGGATTCTGGGATGAAGGCTGGAATTTACCACTCGGTTTTACAGTAGATGCAATTGTTGCTGAGTGCATCAGAACAATAACAAGGTCTTTGCTTGGGCCTTGGTACCAGCACAGGCAAATTTCCCTTGGTATCTGTTGGGGGGATATTACAAAGCCAGGAGTCAGGCACTGACCTTTCCAAAGGCTTCAAGGATGCTTATCCAAAACCAACAGAAAGCAAAGCAAACAGACATCCCCAGCACTGTTATCACAGGAGAAAGAGGGCCATCTGTAACAGGGTGACGCTACTTTCCCCGAGCAGAACATATCTGCGAGGTACCAGATGCCACATCCTGGCCTCGTTGATGCTTGTGGGCATTTTGCTGTTGCCTCCTGTTCCTCCTCCTTCCTGAACACAACATAACCTGCAACTGAGCAACCATAGTCAGAACTGTGTGTACAAGAGGCTCTTCAGGTGCCCAACGATGGAATTATTCTGGGTAGGAGGCCAACATAAGGTTTAGGTTTAATATTGATGTAACCCGAATAGATTTGAATGTAAGTGGAAGCCAAATAGATAATAAGCATCCAAAACTGTCTTAAGATGGATTTTGTAAGCACAGTGTTAGATTGGCTTGGAAATGGAGCTGGTTGAAGTGTTTGGCATGTGCAGTGAAGGCATAATTAATACGGTAGTTGGAAGGACTGAATGTGCTGGGACACTTTCTCTGTCCCAATATACAGCACACGGAGAGCAAGTGTCTCCCATGGACACTTGGAGTTGCCAGATCCAGAGTTGGGCTTGAGCCACGCTTTGCACCTGAGCAGGATCTGCCTCATCTACCCCTGCAGCCCTGATCCAGCTCTGGGGCAGCAGCACAGGAGGGACGTGGAGCTGCTGGAGCAAATCCAGAGGAGGCCATGGAGATGCTGTTAGGATGGAGCAGCTCTGCTCTGGAGCCAGGCTGAGAGAGCTGGGCTGGGGCAGCCTGGAGAAGAGAAGGCTCCTGAAGGGGAGACCTTAGAGCAGCTCCAGTGCCTAAAGGGGCTGCAGGAAACCTGGAGAGGGGCTTTGGGATATAAGGGATATAGGGACAGGCCAAGGGGAATGGCTTTAACCTGCCCGAGGGGAGGTTTGGATGATGTGGTGCCTGCAACCAGCCTTGTCCAGGGGATAAAATGCAGAGGATATGAGGATATACAGCTGCGCTGGCTACAAAGCATTTTAGGCACAAGAAGCTGGTATTGTTAATGGCCCATTTAGCCTGTATCTGCACCATCTTACTCCTTTTTACACAGCAGCTTTTTAAATCCAGGGGTGGGGTAAGAGCATATGAGAGGTGTTGGCATGGAAGCATCTAACACCATTTTTAAATTAAAGCTGTTTTCTGGAAGGCAGCATGGAAGAACCCAGCAATTTGCTTGGCTCTGCCTGGGAACAGAAAGCTGGATGGAGAAAAATGCAGAAAATATATATTAAAACCATATGAAAACCATGGCTAAACTGGAGGAAGAGGAGGGGAGGATATGCACCGGCTCTACAGCAACCCTGAAGAGTCACAACATTGCATGGTGCCTGTTGGCTTGATGGAGATGACTTACAAAGGTCCATGTATCCCGATTCCCAACCACTCCCATGTGCACAGGGCCCAGTTTTCCTGCACTTACATGATTTTCATAGAATCCCTTCCCATCCTCACAAGGAAGAAGTTCTGCCCTATATCCAACCTCAACTTCCCATGTTGGGGAAGTGGTAGCACTGTTACTGTAGGCTTAAAGTGGTGGAGAGAAGAGAACCTGCCTTTGCAATTGCAAGCACACAAATGGCAGCAAGAGGATCAAGACAGTGTCATTCCTCATCCAGAGTCCCCACACAGCTCACTGCTCCTCTTAGCCTCCTGTCAGTTGGATCAGAATGGGTTAAATATGGATATCATGCTCTATAAGTGGATGTCTTTAAGCAGGCTAGCATGGAGCCTGTAATAGCATAGCTGAGGCGTTTCACCTGGGCTAATACCATCATCTCCACAGCAGCCCAGGTAGAGAAGTGGATTAGTAGATCAGCACCATGCATTAACTGGGGTGCTTTGACATGCTGCTGGGATGGCTCATTACCAAAGAGTTGAAGCCAAATTCTCCATCTTTGGTGTCTAAACTGAAACATCTTGATGGCGATCATCTGAAGGGCAAGAAGGTACCATTTGCCTTTGGAGGATATGCCTAGACTACAGGTTCCCAAACCAATTCACTTGCTACTGCATCTCCTTAAGGCCAGATCCAAAAGCCAATTGCGTGAATCTGGACCAGGTTCAGCACCCTTTGTTCCAGACCACAACAGATACTTAATGTGAAGGAGGCCCTGTTGTTCTTTGCCCTCGTGCTGCATGGGAAGTAATTCACTCAATAAAGATGATTTCTTCCTTTGGTTTTTAACCTGGTCTCCTCTCACCTCTTCCAAAGGAAGTTGGCTCAGTCCAGCTCAGGAGAAATAGATCTTTAGGACATGGCTTTAACCAGGCAATTCACTGGGAATCAGAGAGTGAGAGCAAGGAATTCTGCATATAGGAGAAAGTAGTGATGATGTTTTCCTTTAGTCCAGAAAATGAATGTTATTCACATGGGTTTCCAAAGAAAGTGGGTCAGACACTTGGAGCAAACCCCATGGATCATGGCCCTGTTCATCCGTGGCAGTGAAACAGCCTAGGGAAAGGAATGGCCTTTGCAGATGCATTCCCTGGAGAGCTGCCTGTCAGCCCCATGCAAATTGCCCCAGATTAGTGCAATGGAAGGGTTTTTCCTCTGTGATGCCGTGTCTTCAATGCGGGCATGATTTTGACGTGCCCTGTGATGTACTGAATGTGGTTTGTGCTTGTCAGCTTCAAGTCTTCGGGGTGAAACAGCCTCTTCTTCTAGTTCCGAGTTAAAATCGACATTCCTGGGTGTGCTCCAGGCTGATGAGAGCAGTTCACTTTAAAGGATGAGTTAGCTTTCCTGTTGGATTCCATGGACCTCTTGCTCGTGCGGCTGGGAAGAAGAATGTGTTATACTGCAGGTGAAACAGGGACAGGCTCCTGCTTGTATTGCTTGATCCTGCTTGAAGTGTAGACTAAACCTCCAAGGCTTTAATGGGGACTTTGAAGACACAGCGGATATAAACCAAGCAAAAAGCAATTGTTCCTTTCCCCAGCTCATAACTAAAGTATGAATCTGTCACAGGACTTAGCAGAGGTCAGAACTATAAATACGTGAGGGGAGGGGAAAGAAAAAGAATGAGTCAGATGGGTCAGAGTTACTGCTATAAAAAACCCCAACCCCTGTTTATTGGGATAACACAAATACAGATTCTGTGTTCTCCAGAAGAATGAAGGTAAATGAGGACAAAGGATCTGCTCAGTTCACTGCCTGCTCCCCTCCCAAGTTTTAGTCCTGATTAGAGGCTAAGTAAATCCTTTATTTCTGATTTTGGACTGTTTTCCCATCAGCCTTCATTTTAAATGATGCTCTGTTCCATCTTCAAACAGATGCACATTTCTGACAAGAAACATATTGCCCCTATTTATCATATTAAACTCCGAGGACAGTTACTCGAGTATGTGCTTGCTGGACACTGTAAACTGGTGGAGTTTTCTGTTCCTCCAACATGGAAAACATCCTAGACACATTCCTGGAATATGCAGAATTTGGATTCAGCATGTGCTCTCTTCTGCTTGAATGGCTACAGAAATGTCAGGACAATAGCCAGTCAGTCCTTTCCAGTGCTTTGGAACCTGCAGGAGGTGGCTGATAGCGTTCCTCTGCTTGGTTATCCATCACAAGCATCCGCTTCTCTGTGCCACCAGTGTGGGACAGCCAGCAGAGCCCTGTGTCAATCACAATGACATCTGTGAGGAAAGGCATCTTGAACTGCTGGCAACTGCTCTCCAAATTCCTTCCTCTGCCAAGGAAAGCCGATGGCCACCTCTCCATCCCATGGGAAGCAAAGCACCACTGTAGGCAGTGGTGGAGTCACCATCCCTGCAAGTGTTCACACACCATGCAGACAAGCCCCTCAGTGCCATGGGTTAGTGGTGGCCTTGGCAGTGCTGGGGAATGGTTGGGCTTGATGAGCTTAAAGCTCTTTCCCATTCTATGGTTCTCCAGCACGGTGATGCTGTAGGAGCCCTCAGGTGCTCCTCACCCCGCGAGCAAACAGAGCTGCTGAATGATCACATTTTTCCTCTTTCAAACACAGGGGCAGGAGCTCTGGTTGCAGCAGCCATCCCAGGACTGGCCTGGGGTTATCCAAACACTTGCAGTGCACATGCACAAACACAGCAGCCTTGCCAAGCTGAGCTGGCCCCAACGTTTTGCTTGGCCAGGGGTGTTCCCAGCAGATTGCATTCCACAGATCCACATGTGGCAATGGGGAAGGTGAGAGGTGCTGCCCAGGATGAAGCGCGGTGGCCAGAGCCAACTGGTCCTCACTGGGACCTGCAATGGGGTCCCTTCAATGGCCTTTTCCTTCCTGTATCCGAGTCATTCCTACCTCTGCAAAGTGAGCAGGGGTGAGGCTCTGGGGCCTTTCTCACACCCTGCTCACTTGTGGGAGATGGCACAAAGGTCCCATGTGCTTCCCTGCCTTCAGAATCAGGCTCCGTGCGTATACAGCTGTTAGGATGCAAAGGGAGAAGGAGAGGGGTTGTGCTGTTTGCGGACTAAAAGCCTTTCCAGATCTGGGCAGAGAGACAGAAAATACATTTCTGTAAGGTCTGAACTTGAGACTGACCTCTCCCCATCTTTGGACCTGTCTAAACGAACCCATCCCAGTTGGCAACTTATGGGGTGCTCCATTGCTCTTAGAAATGAATAGCACTGAAAAAATGGAAGGAATCTCTTTTAGTTTCTTTCTTCTTTTATTTTCCCTTTCCCCTCTTAAACCAGAATAGGGAAAGCTTGATCTGTTCATGAAATCAGTTGGTTTGTGTGTATGTGCTTCCATATGTTGTGAGAAGGAATGAAAATCATGACAAACACAGCTTACCTCTTCATTTCCAAGTCTGGAACCTCCAGAGTTTCTAGTGATTCTGGCTGAGAAGCTGTGTTTGGATGCTGAGCTGGACCAAATGTGTTGGATGGATCACCCTGAGGTTTTATGCCAATGCAAATGAGAACATCTACTCTGAAACCCATCACGTTCCACTAGAACAGGCAAATGAGGCCACTTCCAGTAGGTGTACTTTGGATCAGGCATCTGATGTTTCTCAGCATCCAATGGGTTTAAATGAAGGGGTTGGGTTCAAAAGGTCTGCTGATAAGTGCCATTCCTCACACTGACCAAAGCACGCCTGAAAACGTGGCTAGAAAAGTCTGCTGTGTGTTTTGGAGCATTGCATGTGCTGTGTCAGTATGTATCGTGTCAAGAGACATAGAAGAGATTATGTTGTCTGCATCCAAGAATGCCAGAGAGGAGCTCTTCATGAGGGACTGTAGCGACAGGACAAGGGGTGATGGGTTCAGACTGAAACAGGGGGAGTTCAGGTTGGAGATAAGGCAGAAGCTCTTCCCTGTGAGGGTGCTGAGGCGCTGGCACAGGGTGCCCAGGGAAGCTGTGAATGCTCCATCCCTGGCAGTGCTCAAGGCCAGGTTGGACACAGGGGCTTGGAGCAAGCTGCTCCAGTGGAAGGGGTCCCTGCCTGTGGAAAGGGGTTGGGACTGGATGAGCTTTAAGGTCCCTTCCAACACAAACCAATCTGGGATTCTACCTTTAACCAAGGAGTTTTGAGTAAACTCAGCACTATGAGTAAACCCTGCTGGTACCCATGGTTTCCTTCCCACGGAGCAGGAGCCTGATGCAGACAACCCTTCATCATTTGCTTTCCAGCAGGAAAAAGAGCTGCTGTCCCAAGAGCTTCAAGCACAAGCTGGGAATTGCAGAGTAGACAGGGAAAGATGGATGCTTTACCAGTCAGCCTGAGCTCCTCTGGGCATCACCCTAATGGCACAGCCTGACCTTGGTTGTGCTGTGTCTGATGAGCAGGGCAGCGGATGCACCCACCACGCTCCTATCCAATGTCATTTCATGCTTCCACGTGTGCTTTGTACTTCTGTGCCTATAAATAGAGACTCTGTGTCCATTCCTGAAGCACCATGACCCTTTAGCACTGCAGGGTAGGGGCAGAGCTCTGCACCCATCACTGCTGTGGGCTGAGATGCAAAGGCCTGACCCAGCCTTGGTATCTTCCATAGCCAGAGGCGCATGCTCTTTATTAATGGCCACATTGCATGACTGGGGCTTTGCAGAGGGAAATAAAACCAGTGAGCTCATCAGAGGGGAAAAACCCAAGCAAGAGGAGCTGTTGTAAATATTTATCTCTTCAGGGCCTTCAATGTGACTGTCATTGTCCCCTTCTGCATTTGAGCAGCAGTGTTGTTAGTGTTTGGCACTGTGAGGTTTGGGTTGGAAGGGTATGTTTTAAGTCTACCCGTGTGTAGCCCATGCCTAGGAAGCCTTTACACCTAATACCCATTCCTGATTAGAGCTGAGGGCACTCAGTGCCATCTCCACAGCATCCTGACAGCATCTGCCTCCTGTCCTGGTGTGTACAGAAAGAGCTGCTCATGCAGATGGACTTAAAACAAGTGGGGAAGATCCACCCCTGGGGCAATCACTGCTGTTTGGGCTGGGTTTAGTGTCTGTGCATTGGGGTGCATCTCGTGTCAGGGAGGGACGTTTGACATGCCTGTACGCAACTGCTTTCCCTTTGGAAGGCTCTTTTGTTGCTCTTGGAGTGGAGGGCTGTGGAAATAGCCAAGTGCCTGCTGAGCCCTCGATGCAAACTTTCTGCATGAAATAATAGCCTCACGCCCATAGGAACTTCAATTGTTTCGATGGAAAATATCCTGGACCACTGTAAAACCTCACCCTGCTTGCTGTATTCCACCCCTTGGACAGCCTCAAATCTGTGCATATATATATGTCTATCTTCTCAGTTTATGAGGGTGAGCTGTATTAGCCTGATAATGCAAAAAGCATTCTGCAGGAGAGCATGGCACAGCCTCTGGAATGCAGAAGGGCCTGGGAGATGCAGTCTTGGGCGAGGGGGAGTTATTGCTGCTTTGCAATGTCTCCAGGGCATCTCACTTCATCCTGCTTTCACTTGCCAGTCTTTGTTCAGGCTGTTTGAGGCAGGGTTTGCGCAGCAGCCGGAAGAAGGAGACACTGATTTCATGTGGGTGTTTGGGTGAAACAGTGCCTACGGCTCCTGCTGGGATCAGGAGGCTGGAAGATGAAGGGTATATGACTGAACTCGCTGTTAGCCCACACAGAGCAGGGGTCACATAGCGAGCACTGTGAGTCTGGAGCTGTGAATGGGAGATGTCTCCATGGCAGGGCTCTGGGATGCCTCCAGTCTCCTCTCTTGCTCTTGGTGCCCGACACCAGCAGCACACAGAGCCCCGTGACTGAACTCAGAGATGTTCACAGCCGTGGCTCCTGGTGCTTTCTCTTTGGGGTTGCTTTTGGTGATGTTTGAATTGTGCTAAAGAGCAAAGGAAGAATTTACTGTTCTGTTTCTCTTTGGTCCTTCCAGATCATCAAAGAGCCCCCGCCTCCTCCCGCAGAAGACAGCGAGGTGAGTAACACCATCAGCCTCATTTCCTTAGTGTTTAGGACAAGGCTTTGCCCAGACTCCTCATGAGAGGCTGTGATCAGTATGGACCATTTAAACCTTTGTGCTCAGCTCTGTAGCCTTAAAGGCAACAGTGATTTAGCTAAGGTAGAGGCTTTGTAATTGATGTCTACCACATGTTTCACTCTGCTCACTTTGCTTGCTATAAAGATAGAGATGTGTGTGTTTAGGAGTGACTGTAACTGTAGGAATACAAGTACCTCCATTGAGCAGGTAGGGAAGGACAGCCAATACTTGGTGCTGCAGGAATGACTGTAGATGTACAATACAAGTACCTCCATTGAGCAGGTAGGGAAAGACAGCCAATACTTGGTGCTGCAGGAATGACTGTAGATGTACAATACAAGTACCTCCATTGAGCAGGTAGGGAAGGACAGCCAATACTTGGTGCTGCAGGAATGACTGTAGATGTACAATACAAGTACCTCCATTGAGCAGGTAGGGAAGGACAGCCAATACTTGGTGCTGCAGGAATGACTGTAGATGTACAATACAATCCATTGAGCAGGTAGGGAAGGACAGCCAATACTTGGTGCTGCAGGAATGACTGTAGATGTACAATACAAGTACCTCCATTGAGCAGGTAGGCAATACTTCCACTTGGTACTGCAGAGTTAAGCTGTGATTCACAGAAAGGACAACCCTTAAGCCTACGTCATTGAAGTTAATGGAACCCAAACATGTGCTCACCTGCTTGGGAAGGCATGGTAATGATTTTGGTGGATTAGCACCTAAAACAACTCTTAGCAGCAGAGTGGAAACTCACGATGCTGATACCTTGGACCACAGTTGCTGTGGGTAAAGGCAGCCCCACGGTCTCTGCAATGTGTCTGAAGGCAGTGGGCAGATGTAAAACCATCCTGGCCCCAGAAGAGCTGGAGAGAGGGAAGTTTTAATGGAGAGAAGCAGTGAAGCAGCATTAAACCCATCTCAGTTCTGCTTGTGCTATTTAGGTGAATCTAGCAACAAATGGCTTAAAGCTGTGTCACCAGTGCTCATGTCTAATGTAGATTCTGCCCAGAAACATGCCCACTTCTTGATCTGCCTCTTTCTGTGGCCTCCTGCTTCCAGCACATGATGAGTCTCCACTTCCACTGTTTTGCATGTGGGATTTCACTGCAGGTCCCTGGGCTGTGTTGCATTGATGTCAATGGGAGCTTTTCCATTGACTTCACTGGGCTTTGGATCAGTTCCTCTTAACTATGCAAGTAAAAGAAGACTTAGACCTCTGCTCAGAGGGATTTGGTTGCTTCCCTTGCTTTTTGCATATGGAGACAAATTCATTGCCTGCTCAGCTTGCAAGTGGAAAAGCTGGAATGATCCTCAATGCCTGCCCTTAGCGTCTGTGCCAAGGCAGGCAAACACCCTCAAAACTCAGCCCTCTGCAATGCTCCATATGGAATCCAACCCAGCTTCTGCTGCAGGGCATCTGGAGCCCAGGCCAGCGCTAGAACCTCTGTCTTGGTGGCACTCATCCCCTTCAGACCAGGCCAGAAGGGAACCTCCAAATCTGAGCTTTCCCGGACCTGAGGGAGGTTTGCGTTTGGATCCAGTGCTCCCCACGCCTCTCTTTGGGCTGTTTTCCAAGGTAGCCATTCCTCCTTGGGCTGTATCTCAATCCGTCAGCTTTGTTAGCTTCTATGCTCTGAATGGAAAGGAAAACATGACCCCAGAGGTGCACATGCTCCGTTGCGCATCACACACGCCTCCAAGCCAAGGGATTCAAGTGCTGAAACTAATTAAAATGCATCCCTTTGGAATGCTGGCCAAGGGCTGCAAGGGGAAATTACAGCTCTGTGCTAAGAGGGCAGGTGTGCTTCAAGTAGAAGGAAGCCTTTTATCAGAGCAGTAAGTGCTGCAAAAGCAAACCAGTTGCAGCACACCGGTTATGTTTGCCTCGGGTTACAATGAATTAAGCTGGTGTCAAGGTATTTCTGGGCATGGTCTATTTTCTCTCAGCCCTGATCCTGGCAGAGGAGAACTGTGTGCAGCTCCCCAAATGCCTCACTTAGTCAAAACTCACCTGCTTCACAGCTTTCCTATAGCAATGGGTTTCATAGGATCATAGAATGGTTTGGGTTGGAAAGGACCTTAAGATCATCCAGTTCCAACCCTCTGCCATAGACAGGGATACCTCACACTAAACCATGGCACCCAAGGCTCTGTCCAGCCTGGCTTTGAACACTGCCAGGGATGGAGCATTCACAACCTCCCTGGGCAACCCATTCCAGTGCCTCACCACCCTAACAGGAAAGAACTTCTTCCTTATATCCAATCTAAACTTCCCCTGTTTAAGTTTGAACCTATCACCCCTTGTCCTGTCACTACAGTCCCTAATGAAGAGTCCCTCCCCAGCATCCTTATAGGCCCCTAATGGATTTGCCAGTGGCTTTTCATTTGAGACTCACCTGATCTTGTGGAGAACATGGGGCAAATCCTCCTTGTTTCAAAGCAGAATGCAGTTCTGCTTGCTCACAGGTTCACTCCCCATAGGTGGTGGCCTAACTGCAGACCAGGCTTTGGCTGTACCCAGAATCAGGCCCTGCACAGTGCCTGAAGAATGGCATCAACTTGTACCCATTCTTCACCTGCTTCCTTGTTAATACAAGATAAATTATATTTTAGCTATTGTTCTTACTGCTTTGGGACCCTGGGATGGGGAGCTTTGGTTATAACAACATCACCAACATTGTAGGGACTGGTCTGATGGTAGACTTTCACATGTACTTTCTACCAGAGCACATCCCCTCAGCTCAATCCAGTCATAGAATCACGGAATGATTTGGGTTGGAAAGGGCCATAAGATCATCCAGGAGCTCCTGCCTATGACAGGGGGATTGGAAGTAGATGAATTTAAGGTCCTTTCCAACCCCAAGTATTGTATGATCTCCAGCATAAGGAGTGCTAATCCCTTCAGCAGCAGCATGACACCTGCAGTAAGATCATTTGTCTTTCACATCTCCCCAAAATCTTGGCAAAGAAAGAAAGAGAAGAGGAATTGTTGCCTCAGCAGAACTGGGAGCTGAGGCCCATATGTCCTTGCACTGCAAGGAGAATGCATTATACTGGAACAATGCAAGGAAAGGAGCATTGCTGTCAAAGCTGTCCGAGATCTTATTGAGCTTTAAAGGTCTTTTGAGACCTCCTGGAGCCACGTTCACTGTTGATGAAGGAAACCATTACTGGATAGAAACTTCCAATGGATTCATTCAGGAATTGTGACTGTTGTGAACTCAGCCCCCCAGTGCAGGATGCTGGGGAGGGAAGCCCAGATGGTTTCACTTACAGCCAGGAAGGACTGAGTTAATGCCAATGGGAAGAGGTGGATGCCTGCAGGAGCCTGTGAGCACCTTTCTGGCCTGAGATTAGTCATTGTTGGTGGATCAAACCCACATTCCTTTACCTCCAGTGAATAGGAAGGCTTCTGCTAGCTGCGTTGGAGGAACACACGGTTGCTTTTGTTAACGTGTCCCTTCTCTTTCAACACTGGGCTTATTGGAACAAGTCCTCCTCAACTCCAACCAGTTTCTGACCAGGAGCTCGCCATGAAGCTGAAGCTGGTTCTCACAATAGCAAACCATCTTCTGCATGAGAAACCCCCAACCTGCAGCGCTCTGCAGCATCTAACATCTGACTGACCCATGCCGGAGTCTGCTGCTAGTCAGGCCCACAGAACAGACTCTGTCTACAGACAGAGGGCAAAGCCAGGCAGGAGATCTATGAAGTGACCAGGGCCTCATCACTCAGACCTGTTTTTTCCCTGCTGCTCTGTCACCCAAGCTCCGGAGTCACCCTTAACATGGCCCCAGAGCCAAGCCACCAACCAGCCTGAAACTGGGTAATTCTTCTGTTGTCATCTTGCCTGCATGCACCAAAGCAAGCACACACAGAGCAAAGTCCTGGGGAGAAAGGAGCATTCAGCAGCACAGACATGAGATGCTGAAGGTGGTTATCGCTGTCATGGGAGGCAGCATGAACAGGAAGAAGTGAACTCACTGCAGAGCAGCTGTTGTTGAGCCAATACATGAAACCACTCATCATAGAACCACAGCTTGGTTTGGGTTGGGAGGTTAATCTCCCCTCTGGCAAGCTAAAGCCATTCCCCTTGTCCTGTGCCTACATCCCTTGTCCAAAGCCCCTCTCCAGGTTTCCTGTAGCCTCTTTAGGCACTGGAGTTGCTCTGAGGTCTCCCCTTAAGGAGCCTCCTCTTCTGTGAGGACATCCCACACGTTCAGCTTGAATCACTTTGATCTTTGTGAACTCATCTCTGAACATTCATGAGGCCAGAGAATGGCTGAAAGGGGGTTATCTGCTCCGCTTGCTGCTTGCACCCCCACTTCTTGGTGTTTATGGATCTCTTCCCAATGGTTTTCCTCTCCCTTCCTGAAAAGCCTTGCTGGGGAGACAGCAAAACAAGCTCCAGAGAAAGGATCTGGAATGTTTTGTAGACACAGGAAATTCATTCTGTTGTTCCTGAAGCAAAGCCAGGTCACAGTGGTGTGCCAGCTCCTTCCCTCCCCTCTGCTCCCCTTTCACAGGGAGTTGGGGAGGTATGGGAGGAGGAGAAAAGAACCTTTCAAGGCATTTAGAAGCTTGGGGATGCTATTGGCAACAGATGAGGCGTAGGTGTGACACCATGGTTTGGAGTTTCATAGCTAGATTCACATGCAATATCTAGGCAGGCCCAAGCAAACTGTGGGTGTAGGGCTGCGGAAGCTGGGTTTGATCACATCAGAGTTGCAGTGGGAGCACCAGGGTTAATTCCTTTGTCATTATGAGACCTTATTTCATCTTTGTGTAGCTCAGCATCTGAGCTATGGAGGAGCAATAGCTCAACACCCTTTCTTCTTCATCAGAAGAACATCTTCAGCCTGCTCCTTAGTAGAGCACCAGCAGAGCATCCTCTCTCGGATGCTCGTGTGACCTGGCACTGCTTTTTGCTGATAGTTTGCTGGCTTGGGCCAGTGACAGGCAGGGATACAAGAAACCCAAAGCGATGAGTGGATGCAGTTGGGATTCAGATGCCTGGCACAGAGCAACAAGGAAAACCTTCCACCACAGAGAGGAAGCTTTAGAGAGCCAAGCAAGGTGTCTTTAAAGGGTAACAGCACCTTGGCATCAGAGATGAGATTTAGACGAGATGATGGGATTTAGAACTGAGCCTGGTGTTCGGAGAACAAGGAGGCAGAGATGAGCCAGAAGCCTCGAGAACAGCGCATTCACCTTCCTGTTTCCTCCGCTGTAGCTAGATGGTAATGCCTCTTCCCCAAAGGAATGACTGTCTTGTCGTGTCCGAGCTCTTTGTAAGTGCTAAACCCTGACAGCATTCAGGCAACTGTGAAAGCAATTAGAAGGGTGGGGAGAGGGGGAAGTATTCCAAGCTTTTTATTTTCATATCTAGCCAGATTCAGTTTGGGTCTCACCCGGAGTGGTTCATATCTCCCCAGTGGAGCCTGAATTATCCTTGTGTTACCCACAGATGAGGTTCTCTCAGGTCAGGGTCAAAGTATAGAGCATGGAGATAAACAGAGACCTTTGTTTTCTGAACCCAGCAGCTCTGGAGCTGCAGCTCTTGACTGGGAACTGTGGCTCTGTCCTGCTTCTTCTGCTTCTTTAAGAGAAACTCTAGCTCCATCTAAAGCAGAATTTAGGGGTGGAGAGATGCCAAGTTCTGCACAGTCACTTTCCAGCATCCTTAAATGCACTTGAATTTTCCGGGGCTGGTTTTTACAGTGCTGCTGGGTTGGAGATGAGGATCCTTTTGCAGTTCTCCCTCAGGCAAAAACCCCATTGGAGTGAAATGTAGCAAAGTATGGGCAAAACCGAGCCAGGATGCAAGAATTCAGCCCTGGTTTATTGGGTCAGCCCTTGGGAATGGGGCAGAGAAGCTGTGGCTGCCCCATCCCTGGCAGTGTTCAAGGCCAGGTTGGACATAGGGTCTTGGAGCAAGCTGCTCATGGCAGGGGCTGGAGATGGATGAGCTTTAAGGTCCCTTTAACACAAACCAGGCTGGAATGCTGTGATTCCTTCACATTTTCCTGCTGCCTCTCTACTCCCTGTCCCCCGCATTCCCAATGTCTTCCCTTCCACCGCTCACGTGCAATGCGAGCGCATTTGCCAAGCGTGTAGGACATCACTGGTGGGGTTTTCTTCCTTTCTGCTAGTGTTGCAAAACCTCCCATTGCCTTCAGAGCATGTAAACAGGCTCCTCCTGAAGGGAGCTTGTGACTCCTTTGTTTTCCATGTGTCCAGGGCTGCCTTTCTGTGCGTGTGCTCTTTCGGTTGTTGTTCTGGCAGGAGGCTCCTATCTCCCATTCAAGTGACTCGCACGGGGCTTTTAAGGGCTTGTGGGGAAGATTTCCTAAACCTTGGTATTTCCTGTTGTGAGAAGTCCGGTCTGTGCTGAGCTGCACAGAGAGAAAGGGAATTGCTGAAGGAAACTATTTCGATGGCTTCGATTCCTGCTTCTTAAAGAAGTCCTCATGGAAAACTTCATGCAGAGATACTAAGTTCTTGGGTTGCAGCAAAGGAGCCTCGGCAGCTCTAAGCAGAGGGAGAGAAAGGGCTCAGCTGGGAGGGAGAAGAACCTGGGTGTTTATGGCCCAATTGTTCACCCTTCCTTTCGAGTAGGACGCATTTTGCACTGCAGAAACAGAAATGCTTTTGTTTGCCGTGAAAAGCAGAGTTGGTCTTGGGTCTTTCCTCTTCCCCCCTCTGCTTTTCCAGTTTTCCCTCCATTCCCAAGTATTTTTGGCTTTTCGGATTTTGGAAAGCTCCGTTTCTTGGAGGTTTGCCAAATCCCTGTGAAAAATTAAAGAAGGGGGGGGGAGGGAAAGGAGCATTTTTCATTTCTCTCCCCATTTTCACAGGAAATACTTCACGTTTCTGATGAACTCTGCGTTTCTGCTTTGCCAGCTCATGGCCGCAACTGCAGGGATTAAAGGCAAAGGCACTCCTATAGGTCAGGGAATATATGGAGCTGTTCTATAGTGCAACAAAGAGTGAAGAATATATAGACTCCTACATAGAATATATATAGTGTAGAATATATAGAATCCACTCACTAGGACTTTAGATAGACTCCTTAAGGAGATATTCTTGATCTATTCATTTGGCTGTGTGCGAATGTCATCGTGAAGGTCCTGAGCACGTTGAACTCTATGTATGGTGATAGGTTTCTGCCTGCACTATGCAGGGGTAAAACACATCCAACCCTGTACACCATGTACATCACGTTTATGCTTGGCTTTCTGCTGCCATAAGCCACGACCCTCCCTGAAGCCCCATGGACTTCCATGGGCAGCCTCTTTAGCAGAGCTCATTCTTCTAAAAGCTCCATTCTTATAACTCTTCCATTAGACTTTTCCATCCTATTATACTTGTCCATCTCATCTCAAAACGCTTCATCTCCCTGTTGAACATCCACACTGGGGTTGTTTCCAAGTGTACTCCTAATTTGCCTTCACTCAGGAGGAAATTTGCCTTGATTCCTTGTTTTTCCCCTTCCTTCTGTCAAATCTGAATGACCATAGGATGGTTTCATTGGGGGTTCCTCCACATGGGGAACCATGGTGCAGGGCAGACGCTCTTCTCTCCCCAGCCACAGGCACAAGCAAAGGGATGGCAAGGAGGAGGCAAGCCCCTGCTATCACCACTCATGGCTTGCACATCACCCAACGTGCACCCCAAAGACCCCAGCTCTTGCACTGTGCTGAGTAAGGCTTTGGTGCCTGCTTCAATGGGTTGGCAGCTCGGAGACAATTTACTCCCCTGGATTAAAGGATGATGAAAGACATTGTCTCCTTAAGAAACACAAAACAAAGAGGGGGGTGTGTGAGTGCAAGGATCACGTTGGGGCTGGAGTTGGGCTGGACCTTTCAAGTGGTGGGTGTTTATGTCATGAAGCATTTTCTCTTCATGAGTGTACATCCTCTAGAGAATAACCAGTGGAGACCAGAACCTTGCCTGGTCTGGTTCTAGCAGGCTCAGAGGACCACATAGCCTCTGGCTGTTTATTCCTTTCCATCTCTAGTCATGCTTCCCAACAGCGTAATCCCTTCCTTTTGTTTTGTAGGAGGAAGATGATGATGGGCTTCCGAAAAAGAAATGGCCAACAGTAGATGCCTCTTATTATGGTGGACGTGGAGTTGGTGGCATCAAACGAATGGAGGTAATTAGATTCCAGTTTGTGTATCCAGAGAATTACTGGTGTGCTATCCCCCTGCAATTACCCAGCAAGAAACTCAGGAGATAGATAGGCACAAACTCCTTTAAGCTTTTCTTTGTACACCTGAGCCCAGGTTATTTTTCACAGAGGGATATTTGAGAGCCAAAAGTAGATTCCTCAAGTTTGGGACCATCTTCTTTTCTTCAGTACAGTAGGATTCTGGCTCGAAACAAGCTTCTTAGCATTGCTCTTCACCTCCCATTTGGACACTGGGAAAGTATGGCCAAGGGATGTAACAGCCACCCTTGTAACGTGCCCTGATGCATCTTTCCAGGTGCGCTGGGGAGAAAAGGGCTCCACAGAAGAAGGTGCCAAGTTAGAGAAAGCCAAGAACGCCAGGGTGAAGATGCCAGAGCAGGAATACGAGTTCCCTGAACCCAGGAACCTGGCGAACAACATGCGCAGGCCTTCCTCTCCTCGGAAGTGGTACTCCCCAATCAAGGTAAGCCCAGCCTTGTACATCATGGGGTGTTTCTATGCAGTCTTAAGTGGTTTAAGGCTAAGATATAGAACTGGCCACAAACCCGTGATCTCAAGATGCTGATGTGCATGAGGGAGTCCCTCTGGACATGTGCCTAGGGAGGGACTATAGGAAGGAGCTACATGGGGCAATGGGTATTTCTTACCAGGTTGGTGAGGTTTTGGGGTTGCATTGCTTGCTTGGAGCAGAACAGGATCCTGAGCACTTCTGGTGGTTCAGCTAAGTTCAATGAAGTTCTTATGGATTGACTGCACCTCCCTTTAGTCCACACTGCATATGCCTTGAGATGGAGGGCATAAAGAGCATCCCTGGCAGTGTTCAAGGCCAGGCTGGACACAGGGGCTTGGAGCAAGTTGCTCCAGTGGAAGGTGTCCCTGGTTGGAACTGGAAGAGCTTTAAGCTCCCTTCCAACCCAACCCATTCTGTGATAACACGAATTCATATCCAAGTGCAGACCTCACACCACTGGAGCTTGGATCTCATTTCAAAGTGGAGATGCTAGTTAATGCCTTAGAAACCTTTAACAGGCAATTTATCTGCAAGTAGTCTGCAAAGAGGGTGTAACATATGGAGTAAACGTTTTGGTGTGTAGAGCTCACCTTAAACTTCATGCTGGGGAATGAGAAAGTGCCTCACTGCTGGAAAAGAGAGGGTTTGTTCTCCTGTGTTCTTCCTCCCCAGCAGCAGTCTCTAGTCAGACACACTGTGTTAGCCAGGTTATTGCAGTGCGGATAGGCTACCTCGCAGTACACCCAGGTTTCCCTGTGTTGTATCTGGTTACTGATCAGCTCCAAGCAGTGCCTATAGGGATTTGGGTGAGTCATGTTTTGGCTCGCCTCAGTCATTGATCTTGCAGCTGGGTCAAATCCAGCAATGGGAATGGCAAGGATGCTCAGGGGAGGAAGAGTGGTTTCCGGAGGATCCGGAAATGTGAGCCTCTGAGAACCTGGTCCAGTGCCTTCTCTCTTTCCCCCCTTAAAGATTATCATCTACTAAACAGAGCTGACCAAGGAGTCATTTCGGTGGTGTTATAATGACTTCAACATGTGCTCATGGAGGTTTTTCATTCCCACAGTGGGACAGGTTTGAGAGTCAATGTGTGCAGTTTGGAGTGGGAACGCACTAAGCACCACCCCGTATAGCTGCTCCCTTGTTCCTAAAGGCATCTCCTCCCCGTTTTGCATCGGTGTGAAGCATTTGTAACGCACACTTTGTCCCATCTGGGGGATTTTCACTCCTACTCTGTGCTCATGGAAATGACCTCATAGAGCTGAGAGACACAGCTCAGTGCTTGTTGCATGCCGCGGTCAGAAGGGCTCACAGCACACAAAGCTATACCTCAGCCACCAAGGAGCTGACAGAAACACTGATTTGAGCCCTGCAATCCACATGGGTACAACTACCTGAGATCATCAGCTGAGAGCTGGCTCCTTTCCCATAGAAGATAGTGCTGAGTTTCTCCCATCTTCCCGCACCAGTTCATGCTGTTGGATTGCAGGCTCAGGAGAGTTCGTTTGCAGAGCTTATTCTGCATGGTAGGAAATCAGCTCTGAGCAGAGGAGACGAGTTCATTGCAAATCTGTCTCCCAGCTGGAAGTTCCCTGGTGGCCAAGAGAGGCTTGGAGAAAAGATTCAATGCATGTAGGGTTCAAGTTCAGCTCTGCCTCTGCCTAGGAACAGCTTTGGCTTTGTTACACCAAGAATTCAGTCATAAGGAAGCTTACAGATATCAGGAGTACCTCATGGGTGATATTCCCAATTCCTTTAGTAATATCTCTTATCCACCATTCAGATTGCATGCAGTTCCAGTCCAAGAGCCCTTATCCAAATACTCCCATAGCCCTGCAGTGTTCCACATCTGGGCAGGGTTTAACAGCCTGTGGACAAGAATGTACCTAATCATTAATTGCCACCACACCCCCAATTGAACTGCACCCAAAAGGCAGTGGATGCAGATGGGATAAAGCATCCAGCGCTTACCCCACCTGCAATCATGAGCACTCATCAGATCCAGAGGGGATCATTCCTATGAAGCAGGGGTCCTGCAGTTCCTCTCGGTAAGGAAGCAGCAAAGTGCATCAGCACTCGTGGGAGAAGCTCTTGCCCTGAGGATGTGAGCACATGGAGGGGAACTTGCATTGTGTTATACAGGGAAGCTCAGCAGTCATCAGGCAGAGGGAGGTGAGGGGCCTTTTGGGTCCCTGGGACTGCAGTCCCAGCCAAGCAGGACTGTGAGCTCGAATCCATCCTGTATCTATGGCTTTTTGCAGTCTGGGGCTCCCTTAGGGGGGAGCATTTCACAGACTGCCTGACCTCACCCATAGGAAATGCCTCCTGAGAGCTTAGATTTGCCCTCATCCCCATGCTCCAAGTGCACTGCTAGGAGCAGATGTTGAATTTCCACCCTCTCCACTGCACTGGTTGGAACACCTCTTTGGAAGGGAGATTAACACACCTGTAACAGGTTACTTAAATGAGATCCTTAGTAAAAGAGGAAGGCAGAGAATTAGATCTCAGGAGCAGGGAACCGGCGTAGCTTGGATCTGACAAAGAGGAAATCCACATTCTGGGGCCATTTGCTGGCCAACACACCTCCTTTTCCCCATGTAGTGCAAGTGCCAGCCTTTACTTAGAGCATTCTGCCTTTTGCCAGGTTATCTAATGGAGTTTTACCTCCCTCTCTCTGTTAACTCTACCCAGAGTAACGTCTACAATGTAAGTAGAGAGCTGAGAGTGGGGAGAAGGCTGCTTGGAATGCTCCACAGATTTATTTGCTCCCAAGCGTGGCTGCTGACACCAAACAGATTGTGGTTGTTATTACTGGTATGATTCTGATTTGCTGCTGTTACTTCTTAGCACGGTGCCAACTGATGATCCTGCTTTAAAAATATCATTGCAACAGACTGTAAAGTCAGTGCAAACAATCCAAGTCCTAAGGAGCTTGCCAAATCCTCCCTTCATCCTACAGAGGAAGGGGCAGCACAAAACATAGGTGCAAATCATGTCTAAAAACCAATGCAGAAAGGACCACAAGCTGTTCATCCCTCAAAGCTCACCTGCAGGACCTGCCTCAAGGCTGAGGTTGGAGCAGCAACTGATGCTCTCAGAAGGAAACCTCAAGTGAATCCTAAGGGGAGGTTACTCAAGCAGTGACAAAGCCTTGTGTCCCTGGCCCATTTGCTAACCTTCTCCCTCCCATGCACAGCTTCCTGCCTAGAAGAGGTCCAAGGGCAGCCACTACTTCAGGAAGAGGATGCATTCCTCATGATAAAGCAATGGCTGAAGCTGTGCCCTCCTTCATTTGCCCTCTGCCCCGATTGTTTCTTCTTTCTGGACTTCATTCCCAGTAGGACTCAAAGCTTTCTTTGCTTCCAGACCTTTTTTCCCCCCCAAGGGACCGATTGCAAAGGAGTTCCTAAACAGAGACACAGCCCATGCACTAGAGCATAGACTAGAGCATAGAGGTATTCGTATTCCCAAGTGAATGCATTGCCATTCACATTGCTTCAGCCAACATCATCCTTTCCGTGATGCATTCTCCCTCTCTTCCACTAAGATGTCCCAGACAGAGCCTGAAGCTCCATTCAGACTCCCAAAGATGGAGCTTTTCCCAAGAAATCTTGGTAGAGTCTTGGAAATGAGGACTGGAGAGTAAAAAAAGATGCTTTTGTTCCATGGAAAGTTGTAATTTTCCCTTTGGTTTCCTAAAGGAGAAAAGGCAGCAAAAGGTATTTAGTTCTTAAGTTGTCAGAGGTGACAGGGGATCAAGAGGTTGAACTAGCTCTCATGGAAGCAGAAAGATGGATTGGGATGGACAGGGATGGCTTCCCTCAGGTCTGAGGGGTTGTGCTGTCCAAGAAGAGGCTGACAGAGGAGTTGCTTGCTTCTTCCTGTGAGGATTACTTTCCTGGCTCTCACCTTGGAAGTCTTTCCCCCAGTATCCTATGGAAATACCTCTTTGCAGTCATTCTGCGTGTGTGTCTCCACCCGTCTATCCCTCCAAATCCCAAACAAGCTTTGAACCTTTGGCTCAATGCACTGGTTGAGGAACGAAGGTCTCAAAGAGGATTACACTCCCAGTGGCTTCTTGAAAAGGGAAAAGAAAGACTCTGTCCCCATGACAGGAAGAGTGCACAGTGAATGCATTGAGTCTTTAGATACCGGAGAACCAGGGTCACAGAAGGATCTTATCAATCTAAACCACCCCTCTGCCAGTTTAAAGCCATTCCCCTATTACCTTTGGGGGTTTTCAGAATACATAAAGACACATGGATGCTGTTGGCTCTCGGCCATTCCTGCTTATTGCCCCCTTAAAGCCTCTTCCTTTGCACTTGCAGCCAATTCGGGTTCCTGTGAGGGAAACCATTGACTCCAGCACCTTGTACAAGCACAGGCAATGGCTGAGTATCAAACACGTAGGTCTAAGCTGTGTACCTTGCACTTGTTCTTGCTCCGAAGATAACACCATGTTCCTTTGGATTGCAGGGCAAGCTGGATGCTCTCTGGGTCTTGCTGCGGAAGGGTTACGACCGTGTGTCTGTGATGCGCCCACAGCCAGGAGACAAGGTACCGTGCCTTAGATAACACAGACTTGGATGAGTCTTGCTTGGGTAACATAGCTGCAGCCAAGTAATACATCCTTCTAAGGAGCAGTAGGCAATATTCCTGCCTATTTTTATTGATTAAACTCATATTCTGAAATAAAGCTCTCAATATACGTGAATGCTACATAAATTCAAACTTTCTGGACACCTGCACAAGGCAAAGTTTACAGAATGGGGTTTGCTGTGCGAGACAGAGGGAGTATTTCCATCTCTTGCCAGTAAAAACCAGCTTCATGCAAACCTCTGTCCATTCATGTGTGCTAATTGTGGGTGGAAACAGAAGCCATTGAAGAGAACAGGCTAATGCCACCTTACAGGAATGATGCTGTCTATGGCAGCAGGACACTAAAGGGCTACAGCTCATGTCCAAGGTAGGAATCTCCTCCTCTTCAGAGGAATTAAACATCAGGGTGCTTCCTAATCAATACCAGGACAGTTCCTGCTGTCTCTGAGCACTAAAGTGACCAACACACACTCATGTGTTGTGCCCAGCTCTGAGCACCATCAGACACGCAGGGGTTGTGTGCTCAAGGCACACAATGGGGGTGAATTGAAATCTCTCTGGCAGCCACCAGGCATCCCCTAACTCCCTGCAATTTAGATGCCTACACCCCGTACCCCAGAGCTGTTCCCAATCCCCAGTTTTTGATATCTTTAAGGATGGAGATTCAGAGGTTTAATATTTTACTTATTATTTAGTTATTTATTATTTAATATTTATTATTTAATATTACTATTCCTTGCTAAAATGTCTTTGCTGAGTGTGATGGTGATGTCTGGGAGAGAAGCTCTCATAGCACAGATTGCCACTGCCTGGTGATTCCCCCCCAGGAATCTGGGACTGAAGGATGCCTGTGGTGTCAATCACTGTTCTCACTCGACAAGCTGAGATTACTCACATGAAAGATGCCACTGGGGAAAACCCAGAGCAGCTCAACTGAAGCTGACTGAGTGAACAGCAGTTTCATAGTGTATTAGGCCATGTTGGATGTGGCTTGGAGCAAGCTGCTCTAGTGGAAGGGGTTGGAACTGGATGAGCTTTAAGGTCCCTTCCAACCCAGACCATTCCAGGGTTCTATGATTACTGCCACAGACAACAGACTCTGTCCCCTTTTGGTGCTGTATCTCTCAGACATGTGGTTCTGTATCCTGCAGCATACGCAATCACAGCATTAGCCCTTCCAGGTGTTCTATGATCCAGCCCCAGACCAAATCAATCTCTTTATGACTATTGTGCCATAAAGGATCTCTGACTCTGCTGCAAGCATCATTCTGTGTGAAAGGTGCACGTGCACCCATGTTTATAGCTGCTAAAATCCCTCTTGCTGTCCAATAACCAACTGCAGATGCTGGGGCACCCTCCTGTGTAGATGGGAAGCGCTGCTCAGACTTCCTGCTCTTACAACATGGGTTTGCCTTCGTGTCAGCAAAACTCTGAGCCTGTGTGGTTTGGTGACCCTCTTGCTGCTTGAAATCACTGCCAGGCTTGAAGTGAGCCGTTCGTGTTCTTTCCTTTCCAGTAGAGGCAGAGGTACCAGGTGATGTCACCCCGAGAGCAGAGGCAAACCCAATAGGAGTAAAGCATGGACAAGACTTCCATCAGTTTACACAGCTGAAGGGGCAGGATTAGGCAGGATCCTCAGCAAAAGGATGGGGGTTTGTTCCCCTACTTCCAACCTGGCTTTCAAGCACTGGGCTCAGTTTTACTGTTTCTGAGCCATCTCCCATCTTGCTGCAGACGTTCCCCATGATTTGGGTGCTAGATTTAGCCTGTCCAACCTCGCTGTCCCGTATGCAGATGCAAAGTGGTTGTGCTGGAGCTGTGCCTTGGGAGCCAAAGCAGTCAAAAAGAGAAGCAGAAAGTTGCCCCTCACTAAATACAGAGAGACTCCAAGGGCTGTTTGATCCCTGGTCCCTTCCAGGCTCCCTCCATCCTTCTCTGCGCCGCTGCTCCTCAAAGAGGATGGTAAATGCATGTCCAAACCTTAGGCTCCAAAGGCTGCATGATTCAGGCTCCTTCAAGGCTGGTGGCTTCTCCCCAAATCAGCAAACATCAAATATTAGCTGGTAAAACACGTTAGTGCTTTGGTGGGAGTGGAAATCCAGTGGGGAGGTCAGTGCTGAATGATGGGGATGGCAGCATGGACACATCTGGCATGCAGAATGAGGCCATTTGGCCTGGATTTAGTTATTCCTAGTGGAGGAGATGCTAAAGGACAACAGTGTAGAATACATTCACACCCAGGCAGCCCTGCACGTTCACACACAGCCACTGAGATGCTCCCCAGCCCATGTGCTCCTGGTGTAGGGTTTGCCAGCAGGATAGAGCTGTAACAGTTGTTTTGGCAGTGGTGAGCTCAGCTCCAAATTCCTGTGGCTTCTCCATGTGATTCCTAATAGCTCCTTTGGACCAGGGACACAGCAAGGACAGGCTTGATCCTCACCAGGCTGCAAAATCTTCAGTGGCGATGCTGCAGGCTTTCATAGCTGTCCATTGGCAAGTTTGGATTTGATCCTGTTCTATTGGGAAGTGAAGGGAAAGGAGTGCTCTGCCCAGCTTGGCAGCAAAGGGGCCCATCAGAACACATATTGACAACCCCAAGCCTTTAAAGTGGAGACCCAGATGGTCAAGACCATGATGTGTGAACCCAGCCTCATCAGTTACAGAAGGGAAGCTCCAGGCAGTCGGATGCAGGGCTTTGAGGTAGTGCTGCCCAAGGCAGCTTTTCCCAGCTGCATCCCAGTGCCATCCTTTCCCAGGGAGCTGCCGTGTGTGCTCCCATCCAGGTCCTCTGCAGGGATGGAGGCAGTCGAGGGTGCTCTGTCCCCAAGGAGGTCCAGACCAGCAAGCTCGGTCTCAATGGTACCATGTGTAGACATGCAGTGTAGATTTCACAACTCCAGCTGAATAAGCATTCAGAGTCACTCAGCAGCACGCTCTCATGCCCACACTGCCAGCTGCACACAGGCTGCCAGCTGGAGCAGCCCTTCCAGCATGGATGTGCCCTGGGAATGAGAGAAGCAGGGACCAGCAAAGCATCTTAGAGGAACCAGCAGGCTCAAATGGAGCCGTCTGCTTAAGAACCCACCCCATGGTGCATTCTGAGGCTGGATAAATAGTCAGACCATGAGATTTATACACAGGAGGCTTTGACCATAAGATCTTACTGCAAGCTACAAAAGGAGCTGTTTCAGAAGCAATTTGTACCTCTTTCCTTTTCTTTCCTGAAGAAAAGAAGGCATCACTTTTCAGCCTCCATGGTGTCGAATGGGCACCTTAATTCACTCACTGGTCACCATACCCAAGTGAAGCCAGATGAACAGTCACTGAAAGGCATCTCTGTTTGCTTTGGAGCCTGCAAAGGGCTTGGACATAGTCCCAGGGTTACATCATTTTCATATAGAAGCAATCCCTTGCTATAATCAGTTACTTTATCCCTTGCCAGCACATGAGCTGAGCTGTTCAGAAAGATCCCTTGGAACACGGATCCAGCTTCAAACACTGGCTTCACTAATGAATGCTGTTTATCTGCTGGAGCCCACACGGCCTCCCAGGTACCATTCACACTGTCAAGAAAGATGTCCTGAAGTCCCCTTTACTCTCTAACAGGACACTGGTTCAAGGGCAATGACTGAGACGTTTGCAATCTATATACACTGCAGTGGATAATGTGGGTATTGGAGCTTAGATCCCAGTCCTCCCCCTCTGCGTGACCTCAAAGAATCTCTTTGCCTCTTGTCTGTTCTTGCCCTGAAACCTTTAATCAAGGTTGAGATGCCTTGCACGAGGGCTGCAGGTATAGAAATACATGTAAAGAAGCACAATATAGAGCTGTTGGAATGAGTCCAGAGGAGGCCATGGGGATGCTGTGAGGGCTTGAGCAGCTCTGCTCTGGAGCCAGGCTGAGAGAGCTGGGCTGGGGCAGCCTGGAGAAGAGAAGGCTCCTGAAGGGGAGACCTTAGAGCAGCTCCAGTGCCTAAAGGGGCTGCAGGGAACCTGGAGAGGGGCTTTGTCCTGTAGGGACATTGGTCTGGTTTGCTGAAGGCTTTTAAAGATGCCTCTTTTCTCCCGAAGCAGAAGGAAAGGAGAGGGATGCTCAGGCCCTGTTTTGAAGGGCACGAGAGAGGCTGAGATGCACTAAAAGGCTGTGAAATTCTTTTTTCTTTGGAGTCAAACCTGGCAGTGGCCTGAGGTTACCAACAGGCACAGATGGTTCCAATAAGGGGAGGAAGTCAGAGTCACATGGGATTCCTGTGGTCTCCTCGCATTCCCAGGAGCCTAGGTTTGCATTCTTGTCAGCATTAATGGGGTTATTTTTACATCTGAACCATCATCACGTTGGGGTGATGTAAAAATACATCTATTTTTTAGATCACCTTATCACTATGAGAATGGACCAAAGCAATAACTAAGCCCAGGAGCCAAATAATCAGATTGTCTTCAAAGCTGAAGCTGCATTTCCTTGGAAAACATTGTTGTGTCAGGAATTGATGAGATTATCCAAATGTGTTCCAGGCTCAGCCTTGGCCAGGAGCTCTCAATCTGGGAGCAAATGATGTTTTCATCGTTATTGCATTGCAAGAATTGTGTTTCCATTTTGTGTTTGTCAAGGGAAATATAGGAATAGGTGGTATAAATGTGGAGAAGCAGCAGAACAAACCACGTGTGGAAAGATGTAGCCTACCTAAAGTAATGGATCCCAGAATCCCAGACTGGTTTGGGTTGGAAGAGACCTTAAAGCTCATCCAATTCCAACCTTCATCCAATTCCATCTTCCACTGGAGCAGCTTGCTCCAAGCCCCATCCAACCAGGCCTTGAACGCTGCCAGGGATGGGGCAGCCACGGGTTCCTTGTGCAAGCCAGGATGAAGATGCAGGGAAAGGAGCTTTCTCCAGACCTTGTTGAGTTGTGCATGTTTCTGGTGCAATGATGTGAGCTCAGCTCTTGTTAGATCTCGGTG